TGCTTTTATCAATATTTGTTTAGTGCTAACTGGCGGTGATACATAGACAATATAGAGGTGAGATATAGACACGGCTAATAAAAATGTTTTATAAAAAATAGTAAAAACAAATGAAATATCGGTTATACAAGCGAACAGATAAAATATCTCACATAAAACAATTAAACGAAATGGCTTGAAAAACAGTTCTCAATACCGGCAGAAGCAATTACGCGCTTCGCAATTAAATTAATTTTATTCAAACGTCCATTTAACTTTAAAGACTACGATCGGGTTCGGAAACAAGATTAATCCAATATTATTTTATTATATTACTTTCATAGCATCGTATTTATCTTTAAAAGCTTAGAAAAATATGTGCTAAAAAAATACAAGGTTTGAAACTCTAAAACTCGATTGCCGCGCCATCTCCTGATTCTAAATGTCAAACTAAAACAAGTGATGTGCTGAAAGTTTTTTTTTAATTCGCAAAAATTAATTAAAATCTAATCAACAATGCAATGAACATTAATGAGATAAAATTTGTTTCGAAATTACATAATTAATTTTGGGCTTTCATCGTAATTCGCTGAACACAACACGGTTTATTACTTCATCATAATTCTAGTTAAACATTTCAATGTAATTATCCTAAAGCAAATTAACAATGTATTTCAAATTTGCATTGTGCAATATGTACGGTATTAGCCAACATTTATCCATTGTCCGTTATACGTAAACTTAACGTATAAATTGACTTGGTTGCGTTGGATTACGTTGCGGACGTATTGCGTTCAAAACATCAGTGAATTAGCAATTAGAGTTGTGTTTAGAATTTCACAAAAGATATTATGCATAAAATATTATTTTGTGTTCATATACATTATAAACCTCGTTGCAATCGAACTTTAAAACACGGTAGACCGTGCAACTTCCTGCAAGTTGCGGTTGCCGTTGCCGCGAAACGCAATTTAGTAAGGTCTGCGTAATGCGTTTAGAAACCGCATTGGAGCCTTAGCGCTGCAACGGCATCGTGATGACAATAACACATTTTTTATCTTTCTTTACCTGTCCACCTTCTACATTCTTTACCATTAGCCAGCTAGGTGTAAAAAATCACAAGATTTTTAGTTAAAATTTTACTAAAAAAAAGTGTGATTTTACAAGGCCCAGCCTTTGAATTACTAGGCATATTAACAACTGTCTTTGATATAACAGATGAGATTAATTAAAAACATGAAGTAATTCCTTTTTTCACTTTTCATTCTTCTCATATTCGATCCATTTCATTACACGAACGCCTGTGTTACTTCATAGTAATCACGAGAATAGAGACTCTAGCGTACAGCATTATTAAATTCCTGTGTAAGATACCATACGGTATCATCGTAGTAATCAGAGCGACATTTTTAACGTTAAAGGAATTTCTACGTTCACCAAAGGTTTCGATAAATATCTATAAAATGAATTCTTTGAAATGAAGAGCCGAATAAAATTATTTTACTTTAAATAATCAAAGAAAAATTTTAAGTTAGAATGAATTAAACATAGATAGAAAAGTTTTATGAAGATTACTTCAGTAGTTTCGGAGCTTGTCCCGGACAAATGCGTGATATGAGATTTTTGTAACACGTGTTAAAATATTTCTAACCTCAAAATTATCTTATTCTAAATGTACTATAAAAGGCCGCAAAGACCTAGAGTGGCGGCCACGGACAGGTCGACGCAGCGTGGGCAGGCCTCCCGCAAGATGGACCGATGACCTGGTCAAGGTTGCGGGAGCGTCCTGGATGCGGGTGGCACAAGATCGGTCATCGTGGCGATCTTTGGGGGAGGCCTATGCCCAGCAGTGGGCGTCTCATGGCTGAGTAGATAGATAGATAGATAGAAATGTACTATATAACAATACTATACACCAGTATTCCAAAGTGGTCCAGGTGGTTTCCGAATTTGCGAAAGACCCTGCAAGGTTTACTGGCAATACATAAATTGTAAGGCTCACAATTTGAAGAAATGGAGGTTTTACCCGAAACCAATTAAGTTTAATAAGATCTGTTTTGGAAACATCTGCTTGAAACAATAATACTTCATGTGATAAATTAAATTTCTGATTTAATCCGTATAGTAAAGGTCTTTATGATTAAGCAGAATTCGTTTTATCAAAGCGGTATATCGTAGTTAGTTTTCCTCCGTCACTCGTGGCTCCTAATTAACCAACTTGTTAACTCCGTCAAACGGATGCGGATATTAAATTGTTAGCAGAGATTGTCGCATGACGGTTATCAACTGCAAACGTATTTACGCTAAAACGCTTTCGTGTTAAGCTGGCAAACTGCGGTATTCATGTTGAACATAACTACGTATTTCGTAGTGTAAAAATACGTATAAACTTCAACATCTTGTTTTATAAATATACATATAAATTGGTGTATTTAGTAGTCAGATTTAGATGAGACTTGAGGTACGCGTTGGCCCACGACGGACCACGCCGGACGCACGGATTGCTTGTTTGTGAATGCCGTCTTTCGATACGGTAATTTTTTTTTTACGATTGCACTATGACGTATCAATTTTTAATAAGACTTATGACATGCAGTTGCAACGCATACAAAAATCAGTGTTATAAAAACAAGCCAAAAAAATAAAATAACACATCTCTATCTTTTCATACTGTCAAAATTCACATAACAAAATTGTAAAGGCTGAATATGTGGCATCAGTCGCCAATTAGTGCTGTACCCGAAACACTGATACTAGGTTTACACTAACGAGGACTTTTGTAATAGACATTCAAATACACTACCGTGAATGAAGCCATATAACATGTATCGACATATATTGTCGTCTCTGTTTTGTCAAAGAGACTATAAAGGATGGCAATATATGTCTATACAAGAGTTTCGACAATCAAAACTCAGTTATGATTCTCTTTTGTTTACGCGACTTAAACACATAAATGCATTTTTTATGTGTGACTTCGTTAGCTTTTATTTAATGGATTTTTAATTGGGATTAGCGCGTTTTAGTTCAAAAATTGTAACTTTATGGTGTCAATTTATTTCTTAATTATTTACTTCATGTTGTAAAGAAATGTACAGAACACAGACAAAATAGTTGTGGAACTTTTGTATTAGTTATCCAGCACTTAACTTGGACATTGTGTAACACGCTATAACCACGGTTTCTAAGAATCTCCGTTTAAAATGTTTTGTTGTTCTCTGTGTTGTCAAAAATGACAGGGACGACGATATGTTTTATACAGAGATTATGAGTAGGAATAAAAATCATATGGTATTTTTAGTAATGTGCTGAAATATTTTTTCTATATAAATACGTAGGTGATTTTTTTTATATTATTAAATCGCAAACGCACGAGCGGCCGTCTGAAATTACTGAAATAGCAAACCGACTGTTGGCGTTAGACATATGCTAATTGCAGATGCGTTGCCTATCTTTAATCGACGGAGGAGATGTACAATAAATGAATATTATTCCTTCCACTTCCTATCCTTCCCTTATAAGAAAAGGGATGGAAAGTAAAGAATAAAATTAGGGTTCCTGGAGGCAAAATAAAATAAATAATATTTTATTATGATTTTATTTTCGATAATACACACATTACTGGTTTTAATATAATATTACATTTGACACAGTATCGAAATATTTAAAAATTAATATAAATAACGTCATTTTATATTGCACAGCTTCCCCTTTAGTGTTCGAAATTTAAAATTACAATAAAATTAAATAAAAAGAGTTAAAAGCTGTCTTTGCGTTGGAAAATAAGCACATTCAATTTAAAGAGTTATTTAAATATGAGTAAATAAAAATGGTACGCCATCTATTATCAAAAACTAACATTAAATTCATTTCTTTAAAATAATTACATCTCGCTTTTTAAAAGTATAAAAACGAATCCTTTAATAGGATTGTAAATTCATCTTATAAAAGCAAAATAAATATTATTAAAATTATACTGAACACGAATTATATCAAGGAAATATAATTATGGGTATAGCTGCATAATTATTACCAACAAACATATTACAATATTAACTAAATAAACAAAATTTGAGTTGTCGACAAATTACATAACCATAATAAATAAAATAATGTACAAAAAAATATTAATTTATCTTTGCCATTCTGACATATTTTATTACTTTCCAGATTTTTTACGGAATTATTTTTTAATATCTAAACTAGTCTATTTAAAAAATCGTTAAAATAAAATATTATTTGGCACATAGTTTAAATAGAAAAATAAAATTCAAACGTTTCAAATTATAAACCTTCAGAATGGCAAAGTTAAAATAATATTATTGTTTTTTTTTCTATTTTATAAATTAATTATCACTTATATCTAATTAATTGCTTTTAAAGCATAGATTGAAGCTGCCGGATAAAAAAAAATCTATACAAAATACTGTTCGATACATTTTTGCTCCACATTCGATTAGTCAAATATTAAGTGTATAGCTAATATTAATGTAAATACAAAAAAAAACTTACAATTAAGTTATTAAGTAAATCTAAGCCATTGACAAATTGTTATTCTTTTATGCGATCGAATATTTTATTAAAAATATAATTTAAATAAAAAAATATACAAACAATTTAATATTAAAATTATTCGTTATTATTCGTAATTAAATTAAAATAAATAAAAGTAGAAAATATACAAATTTAAATAAAGAATAAAAATCCGTTAAATGAAAAAAAGCAAAATTAAATGTTATAATTAATAATGCTGATAAGATTATGGAAATTATTTGAAACATTTTAACTCCAAAGATATTAAAAAATATATTATTTAATTTTAAAACTATTCACATATAATTATATTGGAATGTTTAACGGATAGTTTTAAAAAATAAATAATTCGAATTTGCCGCAGTTTTAAATTACAAATGTTCAAGTAACCCATTTAAGTATTATTAGCCAAAAATTTAACAGTATTTTACTTAATACTTACTTAGTACTTTTATTAATAATATTCATTTAAATTTGAATATCATAGTTTGGTTTTTGTTAGCATAGTTTTTTTAGTTTTAAAACCATTTAAAAATGGAATAATTTGATGAAAATTTTCACAATTTGACCCAACCTGGGGCCTATATAATTTTTTCTTTAAAGGTTCGAATTATTCCGGGATTATAAATGAATTTGTAAAATATAAATTACATACAAATATTTAAAACAAGAAGGTATATTCAATCGCACATATGAATACAAAATGAAAACGGCCGATTTTGTTTTCGCCTATCACATTAATGTCTTGCTATCTTAAAATATATAAATATCCAAATCTATAAAAGCAGCTTTAATTTTCATTTAAAAATCTAAACATTGCTTAATTTCAGTAATTGACAACGGACTGACATATTCACCATAATTTCGAATTTATTATGCATTACTATATTTTTTAATATTTTTTTTTTCAATGCATTTATACAAAGTTTGTCTCAAGTGCAAAACAAGTAAATTATTAATCAGACGAAATGAGAGATCAAATACATATATTTAAAAAAACTATCCTACGCTTAACCTTTTCAGTCATCATTGTCATAAAAATCCTACCCTAAATATTAAATAGAGAAGGTCAACCGTCAGAAGTACTCGAAGTTTTCCATACTTACAGTAAGTTTCGTTTGGAAAGTCAGTAATTAAAAAATTATAATTCGATTTTGTTCTTTTCATATGCTTTTGAGACAACGTTGTTACTTTGGTGGTTAATTTGATGAAAGAAAGAGCGGATAGTAAATGTAGAAGAGAAAGAAAATAAAATTGTGAAAGATAAGTCAGTTAATGGCCTTCACAGCAATGACTGAATGTTTCAGTTATGTCTCCAGAGCATACGAACAGATATTAAAAAATACTAATATATACTTAATAACATGTATAATCTGTGATAAAATAAAATCCTTTAAAAACAATTTGATTTATACTAGAGGTGTGCGAATATGCTTACGAATTACAAATTCATTCAAACAAATATATTGATTCAAAGGAATTTAATAATTCTGGTTCAATTTTTTGAATTAACCGAAGTATTCAATTACCTTGAATCGATTATTCGTATTTCGAATCTTACCAATTGTTTAAAATGAGTTCGAATATCAAAACTAAAACGTTGGATTCGAATTCTTATTCAAAAATTTAAATTTCGAATTCATATTCCAAAATTTAAATTTCGAATTCATATTCCAAAATATAAATTTCAAATTCGAATTCCAAAATTCAAATTTCGAATTCGATTCATTCGAACATTCGATTGTTAGTGAGCGTTATGCGCAGACCCATAGTATAATATTCGAGTACGTATGACGTAGTTTGGTTGGTGCTACGTAGTTTTACGCACGAGGTCTAACGAGGCGGTGGACTCGCGGCGCAGGATAAGCTTCAACTTGTCATCCTCTTCGAGGTCGTCCTCTAGAGAGACAGCACGACTTATCTGCGTCCGGCCTAATGCTCGCGCCTTCCACGCCTCTAACCTCATAATCTGTAAAACACAAAAAATAAAAATTTAACACAAAATTACTTTAACGGCAACTATCATTATCACGTTATATAAAAATGTATTTTTCATGATAATCATAGTTGGACATCAAATATCAAGTAGCCAAACACTCATTTTATAGTTTTTTTTTTCAATTGGCATTAATTATATACATTTTTAATATATAATTAATGTCGATTGAAAATAAAATTCTAACTAAACAATTTCTAATCTACTTAACAACACAATTAGTGCACCTACATATTTCTACTTCTAATATTGAACTTCCAACTTTATACCAACTTTTGTTTTAGAAGTTTGGTCACATCAGAGTAAAACATATAAATATAGTTGTGAAGACAGCAAAAAAATCTTTCCTTCATATTAAAAATACAAATATAAATGCCACTGTAATATAATTTTCAATCATATTTTATTTTTATTATAATGATTGTATTAATTTAAGTCTTGTCTTGTCTTTAAGACTTTGAAAACCCTTAAACACAATATTATCAGATGTGCCCAAGCCATATTCAAATACAAAGAACGAGACAAAACTAGCTCACAACCAAACTATACAAATAAAATCTATCACCTCCATAAAACATCAAACATACAAGGAAAAACAACATAGCATAGACTAAAAATTACACATAAATACATCGAAATTCACACACAAATCATCAAAGATACACCTAAATATACAAAGAAAATACTATCATCGTTCACTAGTATATTTGTGCTTATACGCAGTGGATATCCACTGTATAATGTTAAAATGTTCCCACCACCTTTATTATAAAAAAAAATCATTGTCAAAGGAAATGTAGTAATAAAATAATGATTTTGTGAAAAACAATATACCTTTATAAATATTAATTACGACTGAATTTAAAATGTAAGAAAAATCGGGTAAAATTAAAAACATGCGGAAAAAAAAACTTATTGCATGCATTGGTTAATAAAGTAAAAATTATATCTTATTTTTTAAAGTTTTAATTGTTTTTTAATCATAAACTACATCGTAGATACACAAGCACAACAAAAATTGAAAAAATACTTATGTTAAAAATATATCATGAAAAGTCATCAAAGCAAACAGATAAATTAACCCAAGGATGGTATTTATGAATGGTCGCCTTACGACAATAAAATAACTTAAAAACATAGTTACAAAAATTTAATTTATAAATTTGTTCTAATTATGAAGCATTATTTTAAAGAAAAACGAAAACCCCCGCCTTAAACCAATTTATTTTATATTCAATCAATTGTCTACAACCAAACAAAATTCTCTGACAAAAAGAAACTCTAATTCTTACTCAAAAATTATAATTCGATTATTATTATATATTTTTTAATTAATTATTAATATACCTCACTAAATATTTTTTAATTAATAATAATCAAATTATAATAGTTGAATTAAAAATAAAATTTATAACTTACTCGAGCCTTCTCCTGGGCTCGGTGACCAGTGTTGTGAGTCGTGTAGGGAACTGTGCGTTGTGAACAAAATGCGTTTTGATAAACAAACATGCATGTTAATATGTGAAAATCATCTGAATTAAATCAAAATAATTTCCAATAGATTTAAATTCCCAATAATTAAAATCAACCAATTAATTAAAACATGATTTCAATCAGAATTAAAAAAGGTTTAGCTATTAGGTAAAAAAATCTATTGAAAATTAATATGACAAATGAAATAATAGATATTCAGTTATTACGAAAAATATGTTTTTCATTCTAATAATTTACCAAATATTTTATGGTTATTTACTAATGTAACCATCATTTATAATTTTGATAGACTTACGTGCTCCTATGCACACTGTGACAAATTGAAATCCATTTATTAGAATTGACTGCCAAATATTGAAAAAAAAGTTAGAAATATCTTCCTAATAAAATATAAAAAGGTGTGGTTATTTGAAAAGCGCATTAAATGATAAAAGCGTTAAATGCAATTGAGTGCCTTTTGTGTTTTGACTGCAGTGACTATATCTTACATTTTCTTTGAAAAACACATTTTTCTTACATATATTAAGAAGGGGTAATCCAATGCCAGAGAAACAGCAGTCCTTTCTGCCTTTAAAGTAAATAGATATTTTTATTGAAGGCCCCTAAGTTATAACTGTTTGTAAATAGCGCTAAGGACAAATCATTGCACAACGAGCCTGTGCGAGGTAAAACACGATAACCGCACGATTGTGGATTGCCAGCCATCAAGCCATTCGTTAGTCGGACAGGCACCTCAAGAAAAAGAAGGAGAAGCCATCGAGATTTCGATGGAACCTGGCACTATATCGTGTAATCCGATAGTTCCAAACAATGGTAAAAACGATAAAAAAATGCACACGAAACTGACGTAATATCCCGGTTATTGATGATTCGAGTGTCAAGTAGTTGTATACGGTCAAAAGAAGGAAGTTGATATTTAGGAGCTTCGACCTTGTCGTGTATCAAAACAAGTGTTACTGCAGTCAAAACGCATTTTCAGTGAGCACCTGAATAACACATGTGAACTTACATATTCCCTTGAAACATAAAAAAAACAAATAAAGCCTTTAAAAATGATTGGTGATGAAAAAATGAATGATATAAAAAGACCCCAATAGAAATAATATTTTGATTACATATTTACAAAAAAAAAACAAATAAATAATATATCATTTCCTTTGTCTCAAATCAATTTAATGTTTATTAAATTTTAAGACAAAAATTATTAAGTTCATGATTAAACTTAAACTACACTAAGGGGCAAATCAATGACCACTTAACGACTGTAGAACAGTATATTTAACTAGTTAAGAATGTTAACTAAAAACATATTTTAAAACATAGTCTAGGAAAATTCAAATACACTCGTGTGCTTTGTTAAATACATTCCTATTGGATATTTTAATAAAATTACCTCAGCCCTTAGTTCTGCAATTTGTTCTTGCATTTCGCGGACACGTTCCGAATCGTCGGCGTTGATTCTCAATTCACCTTCGGTCACCATCATTACATTCTGAAAATGTTTAAAAAAACTATATAAATAAAAAAAAACTGTTTTCATTTAGATGCCAATGATTGAATTATGATGACTCAGTAATGCTTTTTGATTTGAAAATAACCAAAGAGTTGCCTAATTTAAATTTAAAAAATATAAAAATGCTTCTAATGAAATCCATTTCTTTTAAAGTAAAACTATTAGACGTTATTTTGTCTTTGCCAAAGCTCACGAATTCGACTAATATTCATTTACGTATTTATTTGTAAGAAAAAAAGATCCATTTTTACAAAGTAAATACATATAGTAAAAGACAGGCAATTATCTTCTTTTAAATCTTTGTAAGACTATTGTTAACAAATTTACCTTCATTTTATATTCCGACACTTCTGTTTCAAGTTCGGCTATTCTTTGAGCGTCTTCCATGTTCCTGATGTTCGCTTGCATTGAATCATACTTCGCCTGAAATTTTAATATAAACTTATTTTAACATTGAAGAATTAAATGACCATCGCTACTTAAACATTGCAATCCAATTTTCTTTTAGACCAGTTTTTTTTCACATAGGGTTAAGTAATGTACTAAGGCTAAGAAGAGAACTTGTAAAACAAAATAATTAAAAAAATGCTTTTTTTCTTTACATTCATTGTTTTCGAAGCTTAATTCCATTGCTTTGTTCTTGTATTAACTACTAGTTGTAACCCGCAACTCCGTCCGCGCGGAATTTAAAAAAAAAAAACTAAATATATCCTATGTGTTCTTCTAGTCTATGTTTTACATGTATGCGTAATTTCAGAGAGACCCATGCAGCCGTTCTGGAGATACCTTGTAACAAACATCTATCCATCGATCTATCTAAAATTTCGCATTTGTAATATTAAAAAGATAATATAGATGTACTGTAAACTGTTTAAAGTGCTATATTATTATATTAACAAACAAAATATCTAACCTTGCTCTCCAAATCAGAGTATTTATGTTGGAATTCCTTCTGTCGTACTTGAAGGGCGCGTTCTCGCTGCAAAGCTGCATCAAGACTGTCGCGTAAGAGACGAGTCTCTTCATCTTGCCGCTTCAATTGATTCGTGGATACTTGTACTTGAGCCTCCAGTTCCATCACCTGGAATAATACGGAATGACAATTAAAGCGCTTGTTTCACTAAGCAATGTCGCTCTAGTGCAAACAGTACGCTGTTTTTAAAAATGTCGCGAGCAGTAAATTCGCAAGACTAGTCGGAAAAATTATGAGTAACATATGTGTTGCCGACAGATACGGAACTTTTTACATGTTTTTATTCATAATTGTTATATTTTTGAATTTAGAACTTTATATGTTTTTTTATACAAAATATTAAAAATTAGAGGATTACAATTATGTCAAAAAATCATCGCTTTGCATTTTTTCAAAAGATTCGCATACATATGAAAATGTAACTACACTTTTTGATGACATTACAAACCAAAATAATATTAATTGTAAATATAAATTTAATCTATTCATTTACGCAAATAGCATAATAAAATATACACAAATCGCACTTAGTATCAATAAAACTATAATGTTTAAGTTATAATACACAATTTTTAACAAAATTTACACAAATTTATCGCCACTGAAAATCACAAATGTACAAAGCCACCTGACCTTAAGCCTTAGTTCTTTGAGTTCAGTAAGCGCTTCCACTTCTCGTATCTTAGTGGACATGAGTTCCTCTTCCAGTTTCTGTGTCTCCGCGGACCTGCCCTCCCACGCACGTAAAAGACGCTTCGGCGTTGCCATTATATCCAACACAACTTTGGAATGTACAGGAGACGGCGGCGGTATTACTTGTTGATGCTCCTAAAATGCAATAAATATTAAGATTAGATTAATTTAAAGATTTTTAAATGCATTGTTTTTAATTGAATTAGGAAATTATTTATAGGAAATTGAGTATAAAAATTCTTTAATATCCTGGGGACAATAGGTTTTTGAGTGCCAACAGTAATAGCATAAATATCAGAAATAAAAATGAATAAATGTATTTAGAAAGTTGTAATTTTTATAAATTATTAAAATTAAGAAATAAATATTATAATTTATATATGTTTAAAATGATACGATTAATACTTATGTATTAATATTATTATTGTCAATATTATTATTGTAATAAATATACTTACTTGTAGATGTCGTTTCCATGCATCAGAGAGTTCACTGACCCGTTGACCCAGTTCTTTAAGTGAGAGATTCGCTTCCGCCTCTCGCAATTTTACTGCTATCAACTCATCCTACGAAAAAGAAATTATAAATAAAAAAAGGGTCTTGACAGACGGACGGATGGATAACAAAGTGATCTTATAAGAGTTCCGTTTTTTCCTATGAGGTACGGAACCCTAAAAACAATCATTTGAACGTGGAATTCCACTGCCGTGATACTTGTGACACATATTGTCATCCCTTTTTACTCTGTAAACTAAACAGGGACAACAATACATATAAATACAAATGTGACAGAATCACATTTAACCCTTTACCTGCAGATGTGCGACATTATTGTCCACTCGTTGCTTCCTCAAACTCTTGTTCTCATTTTCCAGTAATGTGATTCTTTCCAGCAGCTCTCTTTCTGCCGCCTCTCTTTCCGCAGCATGCAGTCTCGCTCTAACAAGCTCCCGCTGAAGACAACGAGCTAATTCGTCCTCTTTAGCATTATTCTTTTCAACACCTTCCAATGACGATTGTCGAGAATTTTTCTGAAAGGATAAAAACATTTCTTAGGATTATCTGTGTATTTAACACTTTTGTAGTACAAAATACGTTGCTAAAATTATTCCTAAAATGTATTTTATGAAATTAAATCGTTAATATATGAATTAAGGTCGGATTTTAAAGATGGGCCACTAATGTAAATTAATTTTACCTCGGCAATAGTCATTTCTAAGGATCGTATTTCATCTTGTGCCACGGCTAGCCTTTGCTGTGCGTCCATGTTTGCTCGTCGCAAAGCTTGGACCTCCTTCTCAAGTGCATAGGTCTCTTCCTCGCCTTCTGCCCGGTCCACTTGACCTTTGACCAGTCTTTCCGCCAGGGCCGAGCATTCTTTCTCCTGCAGCTCAACACGCTGCTTCAAAAGTCTATTCTCCTCTCGAAGGCACTATAAAAGAGACGATACATATTACTATAATAATATTTAAAAATGCGAATATTTGGATGATTGTGAGAAGGTATCTCCAGAACGGTCCAACAGATCTCGATGAAATTAGGCATAGATGTAAGATATAGTCTGAAAAAGCAAATACGCTACAATGTTTTTTTTTTCAATAACGCGCGGATTAAATCACTTTCTAAAATACCCTATCAAAGTTTAATATAATCTGTCCAATGGTTAAGGTATGTATATAGGGACAGACATTGATTTTTATCTATAGAGGATAAAATTAATTCTAAAATGTTGTCTTACAGTACTGCAACTTGTATCAATATTCGAACTAAAAAAAATCAAGACTTACTCTAAGCACTGCTATATCACTCTGTTCCTTGGTTTTAATAACCGTGTATTCTTTTTCTAGTTTCTTCATTTTCTTTTGGTTCACAGTTATTGAAAAAACAAGCTTCATAAACTCATCCTGGTTCGCGTCAGCTTTAGCCGGCAATTCTTTCTGCAGGTACTGTTATCAATGTTATCAATTAGTTATCAAAATCATAAACTGATAACAACTGATTACTTCATTTAGATATGATAAACATAATAAAAACATTAAATATAATGAAGTGACGTGCAATATTTAAAAAAAAACTTTTAAGGCACGATATACACGGACGGTAGTTTCTAATGTATAAAATAGTTCGTGTATTTCAGCCGTGAGAATAAAATAATTTTATTATTATGTATTTTTTTTCTATTTTCACCTTTTAATAAATATATATTGAAAACAAATTCATATTAAAATTGTAAAATAACAATTTTAATGTATTTGAATACTGTTTATTTTAATTATTTTAAAATAATTGCTACAATTTTAGTTTAATTAATTTGATAGTGAATCTAAAGTCTAATAAATTCATTTATTTTGGCGAATGCAAATTATAATAGTTTATATATATTTTACTTACTTTTAATATATTTTCCATATCAAGTGATAATAGTTCCTCTTTACCCAGAGTGAGTAGTGCCAAAGCAACCTTAAACACAACCTCGAAACCCTCAGAGAGAAAGACATCCATTATCCTACATGCAAGTGGCAGTGACAACGTCGTTGTAAATAATGTTAGAAACCAACTACTCGCATATATTGATGTCGCAAAACTCTGAAATAGAAAAAAAATAAAAATTTATTAAAAAAAAGATTACCTACACCACTTTAAAATTATTGCGAATCTAATATCATTATAATATATCTCCTATTCTCTTTTGAAAAGATCTTGTTAAAAATATATGAAGTTTTTGATATTTCATCGCTTTTGCATTGTTTACATTATTCCAGTACAGTATCATGTTTTAGCTTACTGGCGCCAGTTAGTATTTACATTAAGTCAGGTGTATTCCAGCGGTGATTTTGTACACTACTGTCCTACTGTACTGGCACAATGTAAACCAGAATAATCATGCTAATGTTTACTTTTAAAAATCTCACCTGTGATTGAAAATGATAATGCAATTCTGGTAAAAACTCCTGCACCAAGTTCTCAAGCTGGAACATGCACAAACCAAGTTCAGCCATACTGGGTTTGAACATGTCTCTCATTCTGTGCTGTTGCATTATCGTTACAAGCACTGCAAAAGCTTCCTCTTCGGGCATCTGGAAAATAAATTAATATTTTAATCCTTCTAATATTATAAATGGGAATGTCTAGAAGATTTGATGTTTGTTAAAACATATCTCCAAAATTTGACATACATGTACGACATAATCTGGAAGAACACATAGGCTACTATTTAAGCTTTTTTTAATTCCGCGCGGATGGAGTCGCGGGCGACAGCTAGCAATGAGAATAATAAAAATGGAAATTTAGTTATGCAGTAGCCGTTCACTTACTTGCATAAGTAATAGGCCCACGATGAACCCAGATCCCTGACAATATCCAACTTCTCTATCGTGAAGTGAATACGCTTTCATCACATTGAATAGTGACTCTTGGCCGAGGCCATCTTTCTTTTTAAAGAATTCATGTTCAGGATATGTTCTAGCAATATCTCTTCTAATCATTTTCTCGCATGCTGACTTTTCCTGTAAAAAAATATATATTTTACTAATATTACAAAATGCAATTGGATGGATGTTTGTTTGAAGCTATATTCAGAACAGCTGAACAGATATTGCCGAAATTTGGTATATATACAGAACATAGTCTGGAAGAACACTTAGGCTACTAATTATGTCTTTTATCAATTCCGCGCGACCGGAGTCGCAGGCAACCGAAGTCGTGGACGAACGGAGTCGCGGGCGACAGCTACTTATTAATAAAATCGATTGCATAAAACAAGATAAAAAAAAATTCTATATCAAATACGTGCATAACATTGCTCTCTTTAAAAGTTAGTCATGCAATTAGTTTAAATCGACAACTTTATTTGCGATTGTCAAATGAGCCATGAGTTAATTGCCGCATACCGATGGCTCTTCACGGATCAACGCACCTCGAAGTCGGCAAATCGGTTGGAACGATATTTATTATTGCGGATTACGGAAAACTATTTCCATTTAGGAATTTTCAACATGACTTATTCGCCAACAACATGCAAGTGAAATATTAATCCACAAATTGTAAATGAATAAACCTTAAATGTAAATTATAGAACATTAATTAATTTGATAATTACACAGAGATTTAGAGGCGTGCATGCAGAGATTATGATTTTCAATTTTGTACAGCCCTAGTATTAGCTCTATTCTGTACCAAAATCCATATTACGCATGGTTGGTTGTGTATTAGAGATTATCCTAATACAGCCCTGTTGGCATTGCCCTTTCCCATTATTATAATTAGTAAGTTTGACACCAAAATTTAAAAAAAAATTACCTTTATATACGACGAGTATAATTTGTCAGAAGCTTTGGCTCCCGCTAGCAGTTGCCAAACCATGCCTCGAAAATGATGGGGTACGCCTTGTCGGACGAGATCCCGGATGAAATGTCTTCTTCGTCGGCATTCCGAGTCCCAGTTTATCACAATCCTCCCCCACAGGGACCACAAGTCTTCTTCAACCGGTGTCGGACGCGTCTCCGAATCATTGCTCGTCGCTGAAAAATTAATTTTTTATATCAGTATTAAAATAATTATTAAAATATCGTATCGTAATCATTTGCTGAAGTAAGTTTGTACTAAGGATTTTTATTCGACATTTTAGTTATCTTATTGAAGATTTTGTACATAAACATTGATTTTATTTTATAAAATTATCTAGAATTTGTTGAGACTATCGTATAAAATCCCATTCATTTGATTCTTGTAGTAATAATATACAATACTTTGCCAATAACAATCGCCATGCAAATTATATCAAGAAAGCGACATCAAAATTACGCGCCAAAAGCAGCTATGTTACTAAATTAGTATTCGTACTTTACATAAGTACAGAAGTTAGTTGAATTTACATTACAAATTGTTTTTCGCTGAGCTAAGACGTCTTTAAGACCAGATAAAGTTATAGACCAGATTATATATTAATTGTAAAGTGGTGGTCCTGAATTCAGCAGATATTAACTTAAGTAAAGATTAGCAGACAATTAGAAAGTTCGCTTAAGCGCAAGTTATCGCCAAATAGATTAAAGTTCGTTAGTTCGCATGTTAAATATCTAAAATTCTCGTACAATTGTTATTGTAAAATAGTCTTCGCATATTCTCTTAGATGTAATTGAAATAAATAATGAAAGTGTTTCGCTTTTGCATGCTTTTGTTCAACAGTAATGTTATTCAATATTTACAATTCGCATTTACACAATTTGCCAGACATCCGACATTTAGATGTTTTATCAGTGCCTGCCGGCAGAGCATATTGGTAGATAATAGTTATAATATGGTGACAAATTACTGAAATAAATTAATAAATAAGAAACAAAATGTAATTTGCAACAATTTTTTAACATTTAAAAACGAGTTTCGATAAGAAACATTAGCATAGTATTGATTCTAATGAAATGATGCTAAAAGGAATTAATTAAGCCTTTTGTTATTTAAGAAAAAATTGTATTATAAAAGTTATTTTACTTGGACGATCCCTATAACTTGACATAATATGACGAACGAACTATACATGAATCGGGATGCATAACTGATGTAATCTTTTAAAACTACATGTAGAATTTGTTAAGTCTCCTAAGAAAAAAAAATCGATGTTTAAATTAATATTTTCCATTGCTAAGATTAAAATCGGAAACATTTTACACGTTGTTCTTACAACTAATGTATTATGAAAAAGATACTACTCTTGATGACAAGTACCCTAAAATTTAAATTTTTGTCATTCCTTCAGAGTGTGTCATAAAACGGGACATAAGATATTTACATTGTTCCATAAAGATACAAGGAACGTATCGTAAACACAGATATGTTTGAGATTCGAGTCATGTCATTATTTTAAGTTACGTCATGTTTTGTCGAAAAAGGTTATAAAACCTTAAAATTAAGTACGAGGTGGTAAAAAAAAACTATGTCCAGATAATCATTTGATTACCTACATTGTAATGTATACGATATGTTGGTAATGACAGGAAGCATTGGCGTGGCTGTTGAGATAAAATACAGTAACAAAACATTAGGTACAATCGAGACAAAACATTAAAGCCTGCAAGACACAACCACGACAGCTAACCGGAACTATAGCAAAGTGAAGTAAAATTTACACAGATTTAGTTAGTTTAGACAAGTCTAGCCTGTCTGCTAAAAGAATAGTGACTCGTAAATACGTATTATGGAACAATCTCTGCATTCCATCTGTGCCTCGCGCTACAGGCGATAAGATTCGCTTCGGTTTCGACTCGCTTTAATAGCTATGTGCTACAAGCTTCAGATGCAAGGCAACGAACAATGCGATGAATCACGATGACACATCACCCACCGGACAGAGCTCGTTTAGACGCGGCATCACCTGCCTTCACACACCCAACAAATTACTTTCATCTCGATTAAGTATTGCAACGTCTCGTAAACAACCATCAGAATGAAATTAAAATCGAATGCTGTTTCTAATTATCGTAGGATTAATCTCCCTTAGTTCAAGAGGAGACGACGTTCGGAAGCAAGAAGGGATTCCTCTACATTTATTGTTTTCTCAAACGCGCAAATAAAGTTGACAGATTATTTTCCAGATTGACGATGAGATAATCTCTCAAAACCAGATTTTTTAAAGTGTTATCATAATTTAGCATACAGCATTTTACCCCGACTTTTTCACCGACGCTTCGACGTTATTGATTTAGTTATGAAGAATCGATATAAAAAAATAGATAAAACATGAGATTAGACGTCAAAGAGTTGAAATATAATGACTTTGCCACGACCATGACATTACCAGCCTTAATTTATTCTATACATATGAAAGTGCTTTCACGGAACAGGTGTGCAATTAAATTAATAGCGAAAGAACACAAACATTTCATACACGTGTTATTTAAATGGTAACACTAAAATCAATACATACCCAAATTAATGTTCTCCAAAACACTGGCCAAATAGAATTCTAGAACACTAACACCGAACACATCGTTCCTTCCGTTCATCTCAGCGGTATAAAGTCAACACGTGATGATAGTGCGGGATAAACCACTATCACAAATTTCTTTACATCTATACAAGATATACAGAGATAAGGATCATTTGATATAAAAACATTTGCACTATATTTGCCCTAGATATGACGTATAGTTTTTATTAAATAAATGTTTTCGTTCTTGCCTAATTACCTTATTAAGTAGGTATAAATACCGCGATATTCATTTGTTAACATTTTAATGCAACAACTAGCAACAATAATAACTGGATGGATTTCAACACTATATTATTAAACATTTTCCCGTAATTTAAAAGTACAATACTCGTTTAAAAGAATACCAACTCGAGGCTTAGATTGTTAAAACTGAAAGTGAGTTGCCGTTCTCTTGCAATTTTACGCAATCGGTGTCGTAAATTACGAATCGCTTCGAGTAACACCGAATATAAAAATTAAACACTAAGTTAACGTCCTTGATTTTGTTTTTAACAATAATTAAAAGAAACCGTTAAGTGAAATAATTTACTCTGTTATGTAAACTTTGCGGTCAAAATGATTCATTTATAATTTTTAATGACCCCATTACTCACTTTGTCAAAAATCTTTCGTCTACAATAACAACTTAGTTTAAATAACTACGATAACAACAACTCCGATAATAAATAAGATTACTAAACATTTAAACGTAATGGCATAGACGGAACTTAGCTGCAGTATCTTCTTATTCGAATGTTAGGCCATTAATACGCCTGTACTACGGATTGGAATCCTAGAACTAACTGAATAAGGACATCTTGCTTAACAACTAAGCTAAGATACCAACTGATAAATAAATGACGAAACTATAAATACTAGTGACATTGTTATGAGACGTTAGCTCCTATAGATTTGTACAATGCGGGGAAAAGGACAAAACATATATACTAAATATAAAACTACATCCCATAAGTACCATTACCTAACTAACTACGACTGAACCTGAACTTTAACACGACAAACTAACAATCTGTTGTTTTCACGCAATGCTCAAAACTTTTAGTACCAATTTGTTAATTGACTCTAGGGAAAATAGCTATACTACAAACACGTACGTACTGCTATGTCGACACAGGTACAACATATTAAAATCAATAACAATAAGGGCGATTGCTATATTTTTAAAGACTCAAAACTTTTATTTGTGTTTAGAATTTTCTTAGCAAGCGGCTTTTTTTTACAATGGCGCAGTGACGGCTACCCAAAAACATTCAATCTTCAAGTAAAAAGGTTACAGATGGCCTTGATTTAAACGACTTGGGGGCAATAAAAGATATACCATTTCTACACCAATTAACCGGCTAAACTGAAAAATCTGATAAGTAAGGTAACAAAGAGGCACTGCATAGCTTTGTATAAACGATCGATAGCTTAACATGGTAGGTAAATGGAATCACAGACTGAAATGAGTAGTACAAATTGAATCCGTCTGTCATTGCAGTACGGGTTCGGTCCACACTCGAGACAACAAAGGGATGCTATGGCAGGTTCGACGTTCGCTTTGAGCTCGTTAATAGACGAATCCAATAATCGAACTCAAAGCTTTACTTATTTAATCTAACATTTTAAATGTATTTACTTCAAATATAACTTATTTACAAATATTAATGCCTATCAAAAAATCCGATATATAGTTTAGGAGGCAATCCATTGTTGTACCTCGCATAGTAATTAAAACAATCTTAATTAGAATTAGAATGACAATTAATACTATATTAAAAACATGTTTTGCAGAGCATAAAAGCAATCCTAAAATGTCTTATTGTTTATCAACAATAGATCAAAATGTTTATCAACTATTGAGTTCTGAGGTCACTCGACGGTGCAACATCACTAATGAGACCGATACGAGTTTGTCTAAAACATCACCCAAATCCTACCTATATCTACTTAATAAACATTCTTAGTATACGTTAAACGTTTAAAACCTTATGATTAGATGCTATCGTCGAAATATTGTCAAACAAACTTGTTACTTTATAGCTATTCTGTTATACGACATTCGGTACGATATTGAAATAAATGAAATCTTCAACAGTATTATATATTTAATATATTAAATCCAACCATCTTGATATAATATGTAAAGGAATTTTCTACCTAAACTTTTGCAATATAAGGTTCTCTTATCACATTTACTCAAGGTATGTACATAAACACGATAGTTATAAATATAACGAAATAAATATCGTTCCAACGGTTTCTTATTTAATTATCGGCCTTGGATACGATTAGGTACTAAAGCGCTGTACTTAAGGTATTCCAGGTATTGTGGCAATGGAGACGGAGTCATTGCCAAACAATAACAAAATCATATTATAGCAATAAGAGTAAAATAACAGTGTGAATGTTTAGTATATCTAAAGTAGCTATTGCCCGCGACTTCGTCCGCGAGGAATTACAAAAATAATAAGTAGCCTATTTGTATTTCCAGATTATTTTCTATATCTATTTAAAATTTTAGCGAGATCCGTGTAGCCGTTCTGGAGTCACCTTCAAACAAACATTCATCCATCTAAAGATTCGCATTTATAATATTAGTAAGATATAAATAAAGATAAAAAGAACGTATGCCCGTGTAAAATTAAAGCACCTATTTCAAACAATTATATTCTTGTTTTTGTGATTGTTCTCGAGAAGAACTATAGAAATGTTGCTACCAAGTATTTGTAATTGTCAGGTCAAGGTTTTTTCCAACTAAAAACTTCCGCAAAAATGAAATATCACGAGGTAAATAAAAAAATAAATTCGTGATAACTTGGTTTAAACGTAAAGTACCAATTATAATTGCTATAAAATCGATTACTGAATGTTTTCCTATCGTACAAGTTGAAGGCGACAAAGTAGCATTTATGTTCAAATGACATTAATTTACGACAAATTATTTTTTTTATTTGTATGTAATAACGTAGAAAGAACGCCAGCGAGAAAATTTAAAAATAGATAGAAAACTTCAGAATAGTAAGTAATTAGAACATTCTAGAAATTCAAGTTTATAATTGATATACATGTACTAAATTAAATCTCTTTGGGGGGAAAAGGAGTTAAAAATATAATATCGCATACTTCCGCAGTGAAAACTCACGGTTTAGCTAATAATTTATTTCTTCTTTTATGCTGAAAATATCAAAATACAAAAATATCTTACCTGACGTAACAGATATGACGGATGTGTCGGAACCTTTTCTGCTGTGCATTTTGTCCGTCTTCGGCAAACAGTGAGCTTTAGCGTCCTCCGCTATCCTTTTATTTTCAATCTCCAGTTTGTGCAAAAGCGCTCGCTCCGGCGTTGGAATTTCAGCCTCCGAAACTAAATCTGTAAAACATATGTTGGGTAATCTTTCCGTCTACCCTATCATTCTATTTTAGAGACAAGACTTATGCTAACCGTATAATTCTAAAGACATGATGTCAAATGTATACAAAAGTGACATATGTATACATATTGTATACAAGTACGACATTTGTATACATATTGTAGTGAATGTTTTCTCTTAAAGGAAGAAACGGGTGACAATATTAATTCAAGTACCATGGCAATAGAATTTTCGGTAGGAGACAGAGACACAAAATTCAAACATCGTAAACTAATTGAATTAAGCAAAAGCAAAGCGTTGCGATACTACACCACTATGAACGATGATTATACTTTTATTGCGTGTATATACAAAAAAATAGGTGCAATAATATGTGTATTCATATAATTTTAACAATAGCCCAGCAATCTGGCTCATATAAATGAAAAAGATATAGGTAATTAAAAATAATATCCCAGATTGATTGAAAATATGAACCGTGATAGACATTTAAAAAAAACTGTCAGTGTTAGAAAAACAGAAAAAATTGTAAGTAAATAGAAACATGCAATAGAATGATTTACTTAACACGGCCCAATAAACTACATAAGTGAAAAAATATTCAAAATTAGCATTCATGTGCTAACCCAAATCATTTAATAAATATGTATTAAAAATAATGAACATGCCTTGTGAATGATCATGTCAAATGAATGGACAGTCCAAGACATAAATTCGGATACCACGTAGCATCAAATATCTTATACCTACAGTAAGTTTTCCAAGTGACATCATAGTCAACATAAATATTATATTTCACCGAAATGGATCGGAAATAAATGTCCTCGACTGTACATAGTGTTAAACAGAAATAAAAAAGTCATTAAATCATTCGGTGATAATAATGTTATAAATAAAATCTTTGAAAGTAAATAAAAATAAATTGTTTAACAGAAAAGGATTTCCTTAGAAAAGTTTTCTTTAAGTTTCGTAGCTTTTTGATAAGTTTCAAGTAAACAAAAATAGAAACTTTGACAAGGGAAATTGTGAACCAACTTTGTGTTTATTAAACTTGAGCGAGATCACAATGAGAGCAAAGGTTTGCGCGGGAAAAGTTTCAATGTTGTTAGTGAAAAAATCAACAGCAGTTGAAGTCGAATAGAGTAACATTGAAATAATTTATAATTTCTTTTTTTAAACATTCTATTTAAATTTAAATCTAAATTACTGGCAACTATTAAGAAAAAAACTATCGTTTTAATTGTGTTTAAGTTAACCGTCGAGTCGTACATAAAATGATGAAAAACCACTGGATTTAGAACAACTAGTTCAATTACATTACAAAATGTAAAACTTTTTTCTTTTGAACAATTGAATGTTAACATTTTTCAATCAATGACAAAGTTTTTTTTTTATAACAGAAGAGGGTAAACGAGCAACGGGAACACCGAGGTGTTCAACGACGCCCATGGACATCAGCAATACCAGAGGAACCGCAGATGCGTTGCCGGCCTTTGAGGTGTTGAGAAGTTCAAGTTTAGTGAGCAATCAGTTTAAATTAAAAGCACTATTCGAATAAATTAATAGTTGGCTAATTTGCTTTGGCCGGATAGTGTGTCTGACAGCTCCCTTTAATGCACATCACACAGTTTGCTGTGAGTATAAATAAATTAAATGTCAATCACAAACTTGGCTCTCGGTCGGTTAACTGAATTATTAAAGTTTGTTTAATTATAAGGCGCGTAATTAATAACAATACTTAACTAATTACTGTCAAAATAAATTAAAAAGCAAGACAAGTAATAAAATTATCTTAATTAAATGTTATTAATAATATTGTTTTAATAAGTAAATAATTCGTTTTTCGATAATAATCTTAGTTATTAGTTATAATTTCTTATTAATTATAATTTGTCATAATCTATTTATAATATAAACGTAATGTTTTCGTTAAATTATTAACATTGTGAATGGAAGATATTTTCACTCTGATTTGATCTAGATTTCTTTGGTAAGAATGTATTTATCGATTTAGTTACATGGCCATAAATACACAAATATGACAACCGTGACTTATCTATTAATCACAAAACATGCGCTGTCTGCTTATAATTAAATTGCTTACTTGGTAAATTATTCCTTATATTTATGATGCCTATTAATGAACATATGTGTATATTTCCCCTATTGCAAAAATTGTAGAAAGTTTCTTACTTAAAATATTATTATGTAGTAAAGATTATTACCATAAAAACACACTAATAATCAAATGTAAATACAGACTAACTACACACATACCCAAAACCAACCACAAATCACACTTATTAGATACGAGCATTTACAAGATTATGTCTATGATTTGCACTGTCGAGACATTTGTATAAAAACATATACATTTCAACAGTGGTAGAGCCCGCTTTAACATCTTCGCACGAATTGTCCCGGCTCGCCCGGTGAAATACCATGATCACACAGAAGACAGGCGTCAAGTGGAAGCAATTCCGCGTTTCGTTTGATGAGTGTGCGTCCCGGAGGCCTAATTTAGTCCTCTCTCCCTTCCCAACCTTTTTCTTATAAGGAAAGGATGGGAAGTGGAAGTGAACTTTCCGGATGGAAGGATCCATGGGAAGGGAAAATATTTTCTTTCTGTGCATCTTCTCTTCCGTCGATTAAAGGTAAGCAATGCATATGCAATTGCGTATGTCTATGGGCAACGGTCACTTCGCTATTTCAGTGATTTCAGGTGGCCGCTCGTTCGTTTGCCACCTTATGATATAAAAAAAATTGTTGTCTCTCTCATTCTGCTTGAAAAAGCAACAACATTTTTACACATGTCTTACTTAAAATTTACGATCACGTTTTTTTATACAAATAAATTTCACAGGCGCATATTTACAAAACATGTATATACACAAAATCACACGATGCAAATGTCCAATGTCAAAGCCAATTAAGCAGAATGCACATGAATTCATGTACATAAAAGATTATGTTTTGAAACTTGTGTAAATTCATGACTTTTGTGGGACCAAGTTCACGAATAACATAGTATAATGTGCACTTTTACACTTTAAATGAACATTATTAGTCAAGCGAGTTAATTGCTACAATCCGCGCACGATCAAAATGGGATATGACCTGTTGGAATCGCAGCCGGTATGGTATATTATTTCATCTAAACTTTATGGCGGTTAGTAATTTGATAAGAGGTCCTGCGCTAACCATAATTTTAGGTATGGGCTGGAAGTTTGGCTACGCCTGTCTCCAACCACGAGACGCTATAAAATTTTAATTATAATAAATAAACCTGTCTTAAAATATTGCTTCTTAAACAAAGTTGCCTTGAAGGAAATCGGAATTCTCATGCAGAACAGTGAATTTTGTTTTAAGATGACAAGGTTCCATCCCATTCTAACTGTGCGCTGTATCAATTATCCGTTACCGTGGCATTCCACTACCGAAACTTTCATCGAAAATCAAAAATTACCTCTGAAAAAACAGAGATAACATTGTGATAGTTCGGCAGTGAAAACCTAAGTTTAGAGTGAGTTTCTGTTAGTGTTATTAAGATGAATGGAGCAAGTTGTCATACTCGGATCAGTTAAACTCCTCTGCGCGGTTGGAGTCGGCGGCTGTGTTGTGACGACGTTTGCCTCCATGACGTGTCAGCTGCTCTATATTAACTGCCTCACTCCGCTCACTGTCACCGCTTCTGCACCAGATATTGCCTTCGTAAGACAATGCATTTGTCTATCCATATTCCTTTTAATAATGAATAAACCAGCGCTTGATCCCCCCTAATGTGGATTTAACAAGTTGACGCTAGCTTACTAAATGACTGTTCTCTCTACAGTCATACATTCCCATGTCATACAGTCTTTTCTTTCAGACTAAGTTATTTTTTGCATATTCTATGTACATTTGACGCAAAGTCAATTAAAAACAGTTAAATGGCGAAAATTGACTAACCTAACCTAATCGAACAATTTTTAATTCGAAGCTTTAATGTAAAAAATATAATGACAAAACATTTTCTAACTTATCAATCTATTCTATCTTAATTTTAACTTAGAATTAAAAACGACGCTGAATTTATTTTTTTTGTAATGTAATCAACATCCAACACAGAGCCTTACTACTTTAGTTTCCGAGATATAACAAATGCATGAAAAGAACAAATCAATGCACGAGTAAATGATGACACCAAAACATAACAATGATGATAGAAAGTAAAAAAAACATGCATCTGTCGATTTCTTGTAAGAATTTATTAACCTAATTTAGAAATAGAAACTTAAATCTGCAAGAGCAGCCTACACTACATCCGTTCAAAGTAGGCTACAAGGCCGTGGTTTAAAAATGTTTTATTATTTCAAATACATCGAACACCATACGTTACTACTTATAAGTTATTTACTTACAAACATATGCATGCTAAACTACCTAAATTTCCACCGATATACATTTAATAAACCGAAAAGGTATCCCCCTTCAATTTCATAAAATAGTAAATATTACTTATAAAAAATGAAATATTTGTATTAGAAGACTGCAAAATAACTGCCCTTTTCGGTTCTATACATACATGACATTAATTTCTAAACAATCACGTGTCACAACAAATATTTAATTCATCAACTCTTTCTAATACTATATTAGCATTCCATTTATATGAAAGTCACTACTAACATAAACTTGATTCTTCTGTTATATCGCACACGGCGGGTTGCTTACTAGCCGGGAACGACATCGGTAGTTATTTTCACTTAGAGAACTATTAGCGAACTGCTAGTCTCGCACCGCAAACTGAGGCGCGGGAGACAGGTCCGTTACGTGCGGAGGTCGAATGCACACTAAGCAAAGCAACGGTACTACAAGTACAGTAGAGAAACGCTCTCAATATGGCGTCAAACCCGCGATCGCTGGCACGTGTAATACATAATGTTAAACGTCGGATTATATCTCACGACAGGTTTTTACATCAAATGGAAACTTTAACATACCAAAATCGTACCTGTAAAAATCGAAATCCGACATGGAAATATCAAACATTTCTTTTAAATCTTTTGATGTATTTTCTTCTACTTACAAATGAAATCACCATGGAAACGTTTTAATTCGATTTTTGATAACCTGAACCTGTCGCTCAAAACTTAAATTATTCTATGTCATACTTTCTGTCGCCCGCGACTCCGTCCGCGCGGGATTAAAAATAGATGTTGGCCGATTCTCAGACCTACTCAATATGCTCACAAAATTTCACGAGAATCGGTCAAGCCGTTTCAGAGGAGTATTGAAACGAAAATTGTGACACGAGAATTTTATATATAAGATTTATATATTGCTATATACTGGTGTACGATTGCTATTTAAAGATCAGACGTAATGGACAAAAAAGTATTCGTTTAACTTGATGTTAATACGCCAAATGCGTTAAACAACATAAGCAAGTAATAGATTTGTCAAATGTGAATAAAACTAATAAAAACAGACATAGAAAAGATCCTTTTATTCCAAAAGAAAATCAGGAGTACGAACTTCTTAAGTATCACTGTAAATACAACATTCAATAAGCTATTAAGTCGCCATAAATTTTGAAACTTGTTTAAGCAACAGCTGCTACTATTCCATGAGAAACATTATTTAACTAAGTATATAATTCAATTCTTATTTGTATTTTCAGTACAAATAATAACATTTCTATGAAACCTGAATCCACATGTACAATCCTGTGGTTACTATATAAAGTAGAAAAAAGTCCATAGAAGTTTTTGGTTCAGAAACCACAAAGGGTAGTCATAACATGAAAATAGACTCATTAGGATATATTAAGTGTATATTATAAATTAGAAATTTTTTGTCTGGAATACATTTAAAAATTATGTAATTATCTATTTTATCAAATGGCATGTTTTATGCATATACTAGCCCACAACGCCGTCTGCGCGGAATTAAAATAAAACTTATTGAGTAGCCTATGTGTTCTTCCGGACTATGTTCTACATCTGTGCCAAATTTCATCAAGATTAATTGAGCCTTTTCGGAGATACCTACAAACAAACATCCATCTATCCATCTATCTAAACTTTCGCATTTATATAATATTAGTAAGAAGTATGATTTAAACAATGGACTCCCATAGTAACAGTACATGTACTCCCCGACTACGTAGGGTTATTGAATGAATTTATGTCATCTTGACAAGTGATCAGAATAACGGGACAAGAGTCATCAAGTTTGCAAGTGCAAGCATCGACGCTTTTAGATCTCGGTCATCGATTAAGTACCAAGTAAATAATTTAATCAGCAAAAATATTATTATATGACAACATTGAACTAATTTTAAATAAGATTTATAAATTTAAATAAAATAATAATAACGCCTAGAATATACCAAACCTCTGTTACATCCATTTAATCCATACAGAGTATAAGACTCTAAAGAAACTAACTGTCACCCGCAACTCTGTCCGCGAAGATTTAAAAAAACGTAATTAGTAGCTTATGTGTTCTTCCAGACTATGTTCTACATGACCGCCAAATTTTATGGAGATCCGTTTAGCCGTTCTGGCGATACCTTCAAATAAACATCCATCCATCAATTTCAACATTCGCATTTATAATATTAGTAAGATTGTTTAAGCATTATGTAGATTAATACATATTTTACAAAGAATTCTTATTACTTAGACGTTTGATTTCGCATCGATGGAAATCGAAGTGTAAAATATAAATATAGCGACTTCTATAAAAAGCATTAGAAAATCAATATAAATAAAAGTGCTAGCAATGCGCATAACAAAATGGAATCTTTTCAATTTGATTTCAATATAATTTCTGCAGCGAGACGCTTTGAGCATAGACATTAATGATCAAAGCGTGCCTTAAGCCGCAAGAGACGAATTGATTCTGAATAATGAACCCTATATAATTATACATAGACGTCGCCTCGAACAGTTTCCTTTCCATTAAAAGCTCGGAAAACTCGTTTGAAAGATTATTTTTTTAAAATGATTGCATCCAAAGGTTTCATGAAACTTGATGGAAATTATTTACGCGTCTGAGCTCTTCATAATTTGTTCATGATAACGCTGCAACTGCATACTATATTTAGTTATACGTACAATATTATTACATCATTTAAAATTAAATTATAATACTTATTGATTAATTATTATTGACTGAAACGGACTAATAATTAATGAATTAGATTCTTTTTAATTTCTGAATTTACTAATAAAATTATCGAACGACATTATTAATATAGAGACATTTAGAGGAAAATTATAGGGACAATTATTTTCAATACTGATGATGTAATGACATTATTTTATGTATCAATAAATAGAATTTTTAATCAAATTTAATTGCATTCCAAATGTATGGGTGTGCCAGGAACACTCCTTAAACCTTTTACCAAATTAGCGAGCACGATACATATCTGAATTTAAGGTTTAAATGAAAGAATTAAACATAATTTTTAAGCTACACATAAGACAGGCTTGAAGTGGAAGCAATTCCGCGTTTCGTCTGATGAGTGTGCGTCCCTGAGGCCTAATTTAGTCCTCTTTCCTTTCCCACCCTTTTCTTTATAAGGAAAGGATGGGAAGTGGAAGTGGACGTTCCGGATGAGAGGATGCATGGAAAGGGAAAATATTTTCTTTCTGTGCATCCTGTCCTCCGTCGATTAAAGGTAGGCAACGCTTATGCAATTGCGTAAGTCTATGGGCAACGGACACTTCGCTATTTCAGGTGGCCGCTCGCTCGTTTGTCACCTTATGATATAAAAAAAGCTAACTAAAGCTATAAAGGTAAGTTATAATTTAGGAAAAAAGTTAAATGAGTACTAACCCATGGAACTGAGATATCGATTATTTCGACCATATATCTCTGGAACCATCCACCATCTTAAGATTAAGTCTGTTGAACTCCTCTCTTTCCCGAATATAAAAGTCTATCAATTTTTGTTATTTTTTTCTTAATAACATTTCTACTGAGTTCTCACAAAACAATTAGGACAAAGAGAAACGAAAATATGCCTACACCTTATTATTTTCATATTTATCACTAGAAAGTAAAAGATTATAAAAATAGCTGACATGAGACTGGTAAAAATATATCGTTAAAATTCAACGAGAAAATGTAAGATTTACGTCTTATTTGATTGTAGTACGAATTTATTAAAAGCAAATAAATTAATTTTGAAATACTTTGACTGTTATTATTAAAGTTATGTCAAAATTAATGAGATTCCTAAGAGTTGAAAATACCTTATTAATAATTAAGCCCACTAATTGAAATACGTATTGATTTCAAGTGTTTCAAGACGAGAGGTATAAAGCTTAATATATCCAACTGGAGAGCAAAAGGGCTCTTGTCTGGAGTGATTCAAATCAATTAGCCTAAAAATAACGTAACGTAAACGTGTGTTTTAAATAGAAGCAGATAACCCTTAACAGTTACTAGAGCAGTAAATACTTTTTAAAAAGCAATCTACTGCAGTGGACGTTATTTATAACCGTGGAATGGAATTGCATTAACACTTGTATTTTTGAAACAGATGTCAATATATTACGAATATTGTAAATGCGAAAGTTTGTATGGATGGATGGATGTTTGTTAGAAAGTACCTCTGCAACGGCTGCATGGATCTGGCTATCATTTAGTATAAATGGGACAGTGTCTAATAAACAGATATGCCACTTACTAAGTTTTTTCTACGCGGACGACGACGACGTCGCAGGCTAGTTATTTTATAAAAGTGTTTCGACTTGAAGCACATGGTATTTTGAAAATTGTAATCATAAAGAAAACTTCAATAAAACGATTATGTTACGCTAAATAAAACCGCTAAGATCTAATAGTGCTAAGATAATAAATAAAATTTACAACGGTGGAAACATCCGCAACATGATTACTATGCCTTAGCAAAATAATATCTTCATTTTTTTTGTAACTCAAGTATAATATGGATATCGATGTATTTAAAATATTAAAATAGATGACTCTTGATGATATGGTGGCGAACATTTAAGCACCTGATTTTTTAAGCCCCAAAAAAACTGACGAAAAGAAAAGTATATGAACGATTATTATTTGGCCTAAATGCGCATTCGTTTAATTATCACATTATGAAATAGCACACCAATGGTTCGATGCAACGTTACCTGTAAACGGTCTATACTAGTTTAGGACCACGTCAATGACTATGAACTTATTAAAAATAGGAATATATACTTTTGAAGTAAAATTATATAAAGGCACATGTATTTAATTATTCTTAACTATGATAATACAAAATAAATTAAATAAATATAATATAAAAAAAACGTTATTTTTACTGTATTGGTTATAATAAAGGCGAGAATACTAAAGCTGGAATCACGTTATTTTAAGTGTAGCAAAAAAAATTTAACCGCAAATATTTTGAAACTTAAAACGGTAAAATGTGCATTTTGTCTTTAGTCGTAAATATATAGGCTTTGGATTGGAACGAGGGATATAGTTTATCTTGGAACGCGCATTCAGCCAATAAACAAAAGCTCTATAAAAACTTACCTTAAATTAATGTTCTATCTCTATTTCGTAGTTAGAGCCAAGTTGCGACCAGCGCTGGCTTTGACAACTGGAAAAAAAGAAAAAAAATGCATTCTGTTGGGCAAACTTGCACAAGTCTTTTATAAAGTATTTTTCTTTGTCTATTGTACTAAACTTAATTAATGTCTTTGCGAAAACAAAAGCATTCTAAAAGAAATAATTTCTATTAACTTGTGATATTACATTTAATTGGTTTATAATTTAAAAATTATTTTCCATTTATTTTTTAATTTTAAAATCTTTTAAAGACAACTTACTCCATTGTTTATAAACTCTAGTGTGTAAAGTAGAAAAAAATACGAACAAAGCGAATTTTAACCCAACTCTAAAATAGGACATTTCACTCTGTAAACAGAAAGTCATTGCCACGTTCAAATTGTCTCGTACGTACGTGTCGTGTTTAATTAAAAGTTACTACTGCCAGTTTCCATGTCATTTCTACTTTCGCGCTATGAAATTAACGAAGCGAATTAATAATGTAACGCTATAGGGTCTACGAGCGGCGCTGGGAACGATTGGGAGTGCCTCAAACACACCTTGTTTCGGAGTAATTAATCGCAAACTTTACACAAATTCAGCACGGCTTTCTATAGTAGAGATTTCTCTATTCTCCATATATTATAGCTAATTAATAAATTTATTAATTGTAAATAGAAGAAGGCTTTTAATAACAGCACTAAAGAGTGATTAATTTTATATATGCATACTTTCAAGGAGAAAAAAAATAAATTTCAGCAAATAATTTTCCATTTACATAAACTTACTATAACTCGAATACATATATATTATTAAATATTTTGTTAAATAAGTTGGTAGATAAAATACCAAGTACATTTAGGCTTGGCCCTTACGATCCAGTAAATTCAGAGCTAGACGGACGGACGGTCGCTGGAGGGTTAGCGTGTCTGGGAATATTTTATGTAGCAGACTGCACTCAAAAGTGGTCTGCTTTTTTTAGTCGCAGAGTAAACGCGCGGCTTCCGCACAGCTTTATTACGTTTCACGAGTACTCGTTGCTACTAAAACTGATATTTTTAAGTATATACAATTTAGTGTAGTACATAGCTATTATTTTTTGGTATTTATAGGTAGCTGGTATGGATTTTAAGTAGATGAATAAAAAAAATACTTAAATATGTATAAACAAAGCGACCTTTGTGTAAACAATACGGTAGTTAAGTTGTTTCGATACAAATAACATAGAATAATTGGTACTGGTATATTTCTGACGATAAATATCAGTTCAGTTGCTGACAATATCTATTTAATAATAGATACTGAGTTTGTAGCCATTTATTTTCCATTATTTAGTAGGTAATTAAATAGTCTTTAAGCATTTTTAAACATCGACACGCTACCCTATATACTGAACAACCAAAAAAGCATGAATAAACAACAATTTATAAAATTAACAGATACATGTATTTTCAGACGTAATGAATAATAAGATAAAGAAATGTACCAGGGTCGCATAAAAGAGAAACGCTTACCAATCTGGGATACACGTTTGATTATATTTAAACTTCATTAATTACATAAATTTTTAGGGTTCCATAGGAAAAAAAATGGAACCCTTATAGGATCACTTTGTTGTTCGTCCGTCTGTCTGTCAAGACCCTTTTTCTTAAAAACGCGCGAAGGTATCAAGCTGGAATTTATTTCATTGTTAAGATCCTGAACATATGTGATGTAACAATGTTTATATTTTAATAATAAAATCTACATATATGTGTATTAGAACAAAGAACGGCACTATTCTAACATATATTTATTTATACGTGTTCATTCAAATTCTATAGGTGATCAATCTGTTTTTACAAAGTACAGGGTCGACAAGATGTGAGTCATAGACTTCCATTAGGCATTTGTTACTTGTACTTGCTATAACTTGACTTCGCTGTTATATTGCTTCGAAACTAATGTCAGCTTACACATGTACAAGTTTTGTCGTAGACGTTACGAATACTTTCTCGCACAATTTCGTGCTAAGCCCTCTAATAGTTCATTGACCTAAATGTTTTAAAGTGTAATACGTGATCGATTTTTTTTTGTCTTGAATAAACATGGAAATGATAATTATGAAAGACATTTCCATTGTGCAATATTGCTAACATCATTCATACTACATATTACATTATAAACTTTTTTTCTTAAAAGTTACTCAAAGACTTTTTGTCTTAAAATATTCAGACACTGCTCTGCAATATTAAACATAATTTTATATTTAGTTTTTATAAAAATACAGATTTAGAAACGTTTAGTTTAGCAAGGTTACGTTTAGTTAGGCAATATTTAACAATGTCTTAAATCTAGATAATTTTTATCGAATTAATATAATGAAAATCTCATTAGAAATTTGGATTATCGAAATTCACTTAATTTTACTTAATTCATACAAGAAGTCTCTACATAGAGAATAAATAGGATGACAATAATTTCGGCTGTAGAAACCTACGGGACAAATTAGAAAGATTAAAAAAAACTTACCTTTAGTGAATGTCATGTATTTTCTATATTATCAACTCGTCTATAGATTTAAATCTGAAAAGAAGAAAAAAAACATTTTTAAAATCGGTACTTTAGTTCAGTCTGAAAAGTATTTCGAAACAGTTAATAATGTAAAGAATGGTCAATGAAAAATTCACAGTTTTCAGACAATTTATAATATCCCTAGTAATATTATTCACTAACGGTGTTATTTTACGGTAACATAAATGAATGTACACAACTCAAATCGATCCATTAATATAATTAAGATCATGATGACAATTTGAAAGGAAAACAAAAATATTGTAAATATACAATGAGAGCATCTATTGTCTGTCATGTTGTTCATCATTTCGACGATATTAAACCTTCACTAATACTTGACTTACTATTGGTAATATTTGGTTGTAAATATTCGTAGATATACGCTTTTACATTTTACTTCTTATTATACTAAAATTGTAAATGCGAATGTTTAGATGGATGGATACATGTTTAGATCTATCCATCCTATATACCATCACAGATAGATGGTAGATGTAGAGCGTCGGTGGCTCAGGGGCCAAGCACTTGACTAGCAATCTGCAGATCGAATCCCGCCATGTACGAATGTGTTTTTCTATTTCCGATTTACATATATACATTTATCCGACGTTCTTACGGTGAAGGAAAGCATCGTGATGCAACCTGCACATATCTGAGGAAAAATTCAAAGATATGGGTGAAGTCAATTAACCCGCACTTGGCCAGCGTGGTTGACTATGGCCTAATCACCCTTAACTTAGGGTAGGCTCCGAGCCCCTCGGTGGGGACGTATAGTGAGCTGATGATGATGATGATAGATGTTTGCTGAATGATCGATGAAGTGTGGCAAATATATAGAACTTAGTCTGGAAGACCACATATGCTACTAATTGGGTTTTCCTAATTCCGTGCGGATAGTGTCGCGGGCGACAGCTAATAAGAAAAATAAAGAAAGAAAATTATTTCAGTTATTTAAAAAGAAGTTCACTCGGTATTATATTGTCATGAACTTCAAAGTTATTTTATGACAAGAAATTATAGACAAGTATTCGAAATGAATAAACCTTTTCTCGTTGGTTGCAGCGCAATGCCATTCAAATACTGAAGGAGGGACTCATTAAGAGCACAGCCTACCGCAATCAGGGCTTTTTCAGCAACAACATAATTTCCTACAGTTGACTTGAAACCGTAAATAAAAAAAACATTAAATAATTTTGTTGAATAAAAATTTATACTATCTATAGTAATCAAATTACACTGACGTAACTAACCCTTGGTTTCTGAAACCAAAATCTTTGTATAAAATAGTCATCCATGTCATTATCTTTGACAAGACAGATATAACAAGATGTTTTAAACAGGGATTTTGGTATTAGAAACCCACGGTAAATATCCAACCTATAATTACAAACATTCATTCGAAATACTATGGATGTTCAATTTAGCCTACGGCAGAAGTGCAGTTGGCCTAAACTTATACCCCATATCACAAAATGGTCAGCGGGGTGAGACAAAGTCACACACTTCGAAACGATTCCATAGTGAACTTCAAAAATGAATGGAACTTACGCGCGACAATTTCGCTACTTATCTAAAGTTATTGTCAGTTCTATTTTTGAAGTTCGTTATGGAATCGCTACGTAGCAAATGCACTTTGTCTAACCCTCCAGGACCGATAGGTAACAGGATAGTAAGCAGACAAAGGAAACGAATCGCTAAATAATCTAGCAGAGTTTGCAGGAAAACAATGAATATTGCTTCCTGCTTAGAGAAATGGGAGGGAATGGAATAAGCTATATTTAGTCTTTTCCTCCATGTTGCAAATATCAGACATTATGAATATTTACGTAAGAAACTATAATACAATATAGGTCAAACATAGCTATGAACGTTGATAGGTATGTGTTGATACAGGGTTGGACAAATTGTATTATGACTACTATAGCCTGGGCGTAATTATTATGGATGTGAACGACAGTTCATTTTCCGTATATACAGTTAAGGACGTTTATTCCCTACCCATTTCTTTGAAATATCATATTCTAATTAGATTCAAAACTTGTCGTAGCAACACATACACTTAGTAGTTACTAGTATACCATAGCTCTTATGGTGGTAGTTTGCTGACCGATATTCGATTCTAAATGGGAAGCGAATTTAATTCTTTAGCTGAGCATGTGTGACTCAAATAAACGTCAAGTTTACGACACATTTAATTAGTGCGGATTGTTAGTTGTCACGAAAACGATACAAACAATTGTTAATACAATTTTAGAGAAATTACCTTAATTTGGAACACGCTAGTCTAGCTTAGAAACTTTCATTTATTTTAAATGATATTAGAAATGATAAATTAAAAATATTAAATTAAATTCTGGGGCATATAAAATGTTTAATTACAGAATACCGATGTATTACCGGGGTACTTTCATATTGAACACTTTAAACTATTAAACACGTACCTACAAGGTATCTTATATTAAATTCATAGTACAAAATATGTAACCCAATAGACTAAAAACTTACTAAAAAATAAACAAGTGTATTTATTGACTATCACACCTAAGCGCGGAGGCGATACGTTCTGAACAAAAAAAAATCATACGGCGAGGACATCAACAGTAAGTGGGCAGGCAACCGTGACTCACAAACCGACAAACGAGTTTTCCATTCTCCAAATCAAAGCCCCGGCTCGCTGTTACGAGCGCAGTGATGCTATTCACACGAAGCCAAAGCAGTGAGGTAGAGCAGTAAGATTGCTATAGTTTTATCACACGTATAGTCACTGTTGACAGTATCTGTCAAACAATAGTAATACTGCATTACCTTACTGTTTGCCCTCGTGTGAAACTGTCATGATGGAATGTTCTCAACGCCAGCTGAGTGCTGTGCTGTATGAAATAATGTGGCACGTTAATGCCCCGCACACACACACACACGCACACACAAGCAATCGCAATACAAATATTGCTGTAATCAAAAATAATCATTATACGTCACCGTGACACTATAAACATTACACTAGTTTGCAATCTCGCCAACAATATTAGAATTACCTTATACCGATTGCGATGTCATTAAAACACAGAAAACCTATGCCACTCTTAGTTAAAATACCTTTATCAGTCTGATACTTATTAGTAGACCTAACACCCCCCTCCCCATCCCTGTGAGTGCTCTACTCCATCTATCATGCTTATAATTATTCGGACTTCGTAAGTATTACGTGATAGGTTCACTGGCACATTGCTAAACTGGAGTAAGTTTTTATTTGACCTTACGCAATTCGACAGTTCAACTCTGATAAGTACAATAATTGGATACATGTTTGATAAAAAAGTAACGTACGCTTTTGCATCAAAGGAAAAGAACGCAAAATAAAACACTCGTCTAGTTCTAATAGAAATATTACTAATATTATAAATGCGAATGTTTAGATGGATGGATGTTTGTTTGAAGGTAACACCGGAACGGCTGGACAGATCTCGCTGAAATTTGGCATAGATGCATAACATAGTCTGGAAGAAAACGAAGACTACTTATTAACTTTTTTAATTTAGCGCAGACGAAGTCGCGAGCGACACTTACTGAACATACAAATCTATCAACTGTGAAATTCATTGACTAAAACTCTTTGCCACAATAAAAAAACATTTCCGCTGTAGAATTCAAGGGATAAAGTTATTTTCCCAATTATGCTTCATTTACTACAAACTATCCTGTTCAAAATATTTTATATACGTACTATTACTAGTTAGTGTAAAAAGTTGCGTCGATTGATTGGTAGACCGATCGTACCAACGAGAAACGTCCGAATCATACGAATCCAATGACAATTGAATTTCAAATCTGTTAAGACTACAGATCGATTTTGAGGACATATATTTCCTACCCATTTCTGGAAAACATTTGAAACGCAATGCAATTAAATCGAAAAATTATTACAGAATAGCAAGCATAGGTGCTAAATTATAGGTCTTGTTGTTACAATTGGCTGTAGTATATTCAAGCCTTCATGGGAAGCGAATTTAATTCTTTGACCGTACAACGAACACACCAGCCAATGGCAATCGAATCCGTGAGCCGTCCGCTCTAACACCGCTGCGTACATTGACCCAAATGCTTTCTCTATTGCACCTGTTCGAATAGTGATAGCTCCATCTCAATACTGGATAATTAATTTTCGACTTCGGTAACACTTTTTCTGGTGCGTATTTACTATAATTATTTCTGATAAACTGTAATAAAACATTATATAGCGTATATTAATGACAAAAGATATAATGTAAAGTCCAGCCTATAAAATTAATACGAAAAAATAACTCCTCAAAGATCTAAGCACTCTCTTTACGTCTTTTTTGCTATTCAGACCATAACCCACCATAGTTAAAAGATAATTACATGTATATGAATTGAGTAAAAACGTTTTAATATTTGTCAAAATATTATGAACAAAGAGTAGCTCGTGTACACTAATAAACCCACATTTTTTTTTTATTGGAGAAAGGGGGCAAACGAGCAACGAATCGCCTAATATTATTTGATCCGACGCCTATGGACATCCGCAACGCCAGATAGGTTGCCGCAGATGGGTTGATGTAAAGGAAGGTAGACACTCTTTACTCATATGTAAGCTATATGTGATTAAAAGTCTTGTCAAATACGGTCCTGCCGTTTCTAAGATTACATACAGAAACATAGACTTGTGGACAGATAGAAGAATAGACAAACAAATAAAAATTATACTTTTGTTGTATGTAACAAAAAATCCTAACTTCCTGTGCAAAAAATATTTAAGTTATATTTTACATATTACATAAAGACAATCTATTTTTAATTAACTATGTGATTAATTCAAATAGCTCTGATAGTATGTAGTGCTCAGTCATACTCCTGTCCAGAAGATCTGCTGTGGGAACTTGAAATCTAGTATTTCTGGTGCCTAAAGAATATTAAAGGGGGCAATATATGATTGGCGCACACAAAATTATTATGTCTAATCTAGTTAGTAACAGGTTCAGGATAACCATCTTGAAAATTTACTTTAAAATATACCACAAAACACTCAAATTGTAGTGACGTGTTCCATACATATGAATTGGATATTTAATTTATTCAATATTTTAAAAGCAATTAGAATTATCCCGAGAAAATCAAGTTATGTTCATTTAATTACAGTTCTCCCATCATCGAGAGAAGGATACCTAAATTATAGTACATGAAAATATATGTATATAGGGTCATTACCAATATTCATATTTTATTTTAATCTTTTACACATAACTAGCTGTATAACACATGTGTTGAAATGAATAAAAATATTGTTAGAAGTCAAAAAAATTGAAGTAACATTATAGTTCAAGAAAAACAAAGATAGGATGGTTTTATTTTATTCTTTAAAGCACATACTTACTCCAACATGTCCAGAACATCCTACTACAATTTCATCAAAACTTGCGCATTATTAAGGCATATGTATGGGACACACAAAATCCTAACAAGTATAGTAACTAGACATGTTTGTAAATGCTTATATTGATATATAGTATATAATATAATCTTGTATAGTGAGTGCAGTATTGTATAAAGTTTAAGTATTGTTCTATTGCCAGTCAGATATAACCTTGACTGTGGGATTCTACTGCAATGACACTTGTATACACATATTATGCTTTTTGCAGAGACAGCAATATATGTCATATATAAATATATTAGTGAGTGTGAACGCATAACCCAAAGGGGTAAACAGAGACCTCAAACTTCCATTTGGTACAGTCAGAAGAATAAGAATTGCAAAAGTAATCCTAAAAATATTTTAGCGAGATTAAATTACTCTATTGTCCTGGACAGTTCTACTAAAAACATACATAAGCATAAAAAAGGACACAAGACTAAATGACAAGTTTCACTTATGGCCATTCGACCAGAACAAACATATTGTTGCATCAAAACATGGTTAGACAGATTGTTTTTGAAACTCTTCTTTACAATTTGTAATTCAACAATAGTTTAATCGGAATCAATAAATCTTCATAAAATTAATTCCTTTAAAATATATATTTTATGTAACTAAAAAAAGTTTTAACGAAGTTACTAACATTAAATTAATTGATACAAATATGTGAAATTACCAATATTCTTTAATCTACTATCTTCTGATGTGCCCAAGGACACTAGTTATTATCAAAGAATATAGTTATATTCTAAAATCAGAAACAAATTTTCTGTAAACTTTTTTACTGTATCCGCTCAAAATCGTATCCGTGGACACATTTATTGTATTACCTATACAATGAAACGTTGTTTATACGTATTAAGAAATTGAAAACTTATTTGTATACATAATTAAAGGTTTACTCACATTTGAATGAATTAAAAACTTCACTTGACTTAGGCACCGCGAAAATACACCAAAATGGCACACCCAACAGTATATAATATTATCCGACCAATGGCGACTTACTGACAACTTTTGAGTTTTGACAACTAGACAACTAGAATTTTAAATGGTTTATGTGGTTTAACTTGGGTTAACTTAGGCCATAAATGGAAGGGTCATTGCCTTAAAATGACAGCTTTTGCTTCGTTTATTCGTTTGGAATTAAACTGTGCGTAACTGAAGTTCCTGACAGTTAATTCTAAGCCGCTTATTAGTTCGATTTCCCACCACCGCTACCAACAACAACCGTCAGCGCCAAAATGGCGAAAATCAAATAGGCACAAAGTATCTTTGTCAATAGACATCCATTTTAGAGGTCAGTCTTAAAACAGACTCAGCCCATAATATACCGATCCCATAGAAATTTATTTCAGGTCAGTGAGAAGCAAAACAAATTTTTTGAATAAATATTATAGGTAAGTGGTAAACCAAAAATTCAAAAACGCACTGTTTTTTTAACTTAAATCCAAATATTAAAAATTTGACTTTATTTTCTAATTAGATTTTGCGATATTTTAAGTTATAAATTAAAATCTATATCTGGTAACACAAAATCATGTTGTGTTTTGTGATGATCTCCATTTTGAATTTTGACCAGAGATTATTAATAATTTTGACTAATTAATTCAGGCGGTATTTTTTTGGTTGTACTGGTTAGATAAAAAACTATACTAGATACTCTTGGTGATTACCATTCATTTTAGCGATTTCTGTGAGAGCAGTGAGACTAGTTCGTGTTATATTTGTAGAGGCGTATTAAAAGTGAGCACTTTTATGCTAACTCATAATTATTGTCTACCATAAACTTATTCTGCGTAGCGTAATTTTTCTCCATGGGAGACCATATGCATTTGTCACCAAATCAAAAGTTAACGTTTATCAACAGTGTGTAACTGATTTTTTTGTAACAGGATCATCGTAGTTCAGTTCATATAAGTTGTTCTCGGAAAAATGTCTCAAGATAACCAAAGAAAGAGAAAACACTCTGATTCGCTCTCATATTCGGTAAGTTAAAATTATTATTAGGTTAAATGCACTACGATGCTAATGTCAGTTTAAATTTGATCTAATGTTGTTTCACAAGCAATTAACTTTCTATCGATGTTAAAATTTACGTGGTAAAGTTACTACACGTGGTATTCATAAGTCTCGTAGATGTTAACCACGGTGCATAGTAACGCAGATTGTTGTTTCCAGTCTATATTCAGTAACTTAATGGGCACCATATCCACGTTTATTCCGCGGCCAATATTCAATTGGTTTCGAAAAACTGGAGAAACGGGAACTGATTGTTTGAGCCATGACTCCGATCACAGCTCTGAGGAAATAGCTCCACCCCCCAAAAAAAAGAAATGCTATACAATTGGCAGATATAAACCTCTCCACGTAAGTTATAACTTTATTACTTGATAATAGAAGCATATAAAATACTCAAATTATAGTAATTCTTCATCATTAATTTATAAACAGTATAAACTTTTTGCTTCTCATAATATTAACTTTATTTTACTATTTACTAAATTTGACTTATTTTTGTCATTTCTACTGCACTGGTGTCCTACATCACAACTTTATAATGCTCTAGGTTTAAACTGCAATTAGGAATGGCAACCTACAATATTTTTTTACTTTCCTTATTTTTAAATCTGTCTCTAACAGTTATTTAAAATCACCTCCTTAATTATAAATCATTTGAATTTGTGCAAATGTTGTAAAAACAAAAAATGTTTGTAGCGATATTATGAAGATGGTGCAACAAATGACAATATTGAAGAAGACTCTCAACATGGATATGATTCTAATGAATACAGTAGCGGCAAGTTTATTTTTTTATTTCTTTGCTTATACTCCAAATATACAGCCAAACATTGTTTACTTAAAGCCCTTTATTTTATCTGTTGACTGTTAATTTATACCATGGTTGTCAACTCGTCAACAAGGTTATATAAGAGTATTTTATATTTTTAAATATGTATCACCAGTGCTGCTTCTAGTATAACTAGTTTGTTATTTATTTGTCAAGATCGCAAGTAGGAAGCCTGTGCATAATTATATTTCAATAAACATGATTTCTGATAATGTCTAACATCAGTGTGCGATAAAAGAGCTTATTTAAAGCTAAAGTATTATTTAAGGAGTGTTAATTTTTTTTAAGGTTATGTCTCTAGTGTTTAGTTGAGTTTCCACAAAATTATTTTGGATTTAAACCATAGAATGCTAAGACTGTGTTTTTTATATTTTACATTTTTGTAGTTGTATTTTTTACAGACTCTCAAGAAATGCAAAATCCAAGGAAGATAAAAAAATTGGATCATGTAAGTGGATTGATTTTCAATTAATTTTAACTATGTCTTCAATAAATAGCATTTGAATTTTCGTAATATAAAATTTTCTTTGTGAAGAAGTAATGTTTTTACATGTTTTTCAAGGATGATACTGTTGTCAGCTCAATAAGATCTTCAAAACCAAATGTGAATTCTACTAACTATTCAAGAACACAACCATCTTTGTCATCATCAACAGACACTTACCAGCCACTTTACCGGCCAATTTACCAGCCAGTTTATAGGCCACGTTACAACCGAGTCTCAAGCATCACAGCATCTGTACCATCTGGTAGGCTTTATTTTATTACAAAACATTTTTTTCATATCATAAGATGGCAAACAAGCAAGCGGCTACCTCAAATCGCTGATATAGCAAAGAGACCGGTCCCTCGATGGAGGAGGGATGCACAGAAAAAGAATATTTTCCATTCCCATGGATCCACTTTCACTTACTATCCTTTCCTTATAAGCAAGAGTGTGGGTAGGGATGCACAGTCATCAGATTGTACGCGGAATTTCTTCCTATTGACGCCTGTCTTCTATGTGATTGTGGTTTTGCACCAGACAAACCGGCCAATCCATGGGAAGATGCTCTACCACTGTTTAGTTAGTTTATAATCAGTTATTAATGACAGACATCAAATGTTTTGTTTTACTATTAAATTACATATATATTTGTTTAAGTAGGCTCATCTAAAATAAGTCCTAGTTCAACATATTAAGCAAAAGATATTGATTGGTCTCTATCTATATCTTGTGAAATGAAAGACTGGCCCAGGAAATATTTCCAATTCCTTATTAAATTTTGAATAATATAACAATAATACTAATTTTGTTGCTTTTTCAGATTACAAAACAAGAGAGTTGCTCTTGCCAACTCAAGCAAACATTATGCTTGTCAAGAATAAGTCGAAACGAACTCTTAAAAGTATTTCTACAAGGTAACATAAATTATATAATGCTATGGAATGAATGGAAGCTTTATAAAGAACGATGCATGGCTTATCTTGACGTCTTTTTCGATTCCTCTTTGCGGAACCACTGATGCTTTTGTTTATTTACATTATATATAATATAAAATCATTTTAATTACAGAACTACTGAATATGAGAACCCACCAACTATTACTAAAGTGTCGAGTGAATTACCTGAGCCTAGTAAAGTGCAGGAGCCTAGAGAAGTGCCGGAGCCTAGAGAAATGCCGAAACCTAGAGAAATGCCGAAACCTAGAGAAATGCCGAAACCTAAAGAAGTGCCAGAGCCTAAAAAAGTGCAGGAGCCTAAAGTGGTGCCGAAGCCTAGAGAAGTGCCAGAGCCTAAAAAAATGCCTAAGGCTATAGAGGTGACAGATCCAAAAGAAGTGCCAGAACCTAATGATGTACCGGAGCCTAAAAAAGTGCCAGAGCTTATAAAAATGCCGAAGGCTAGAGAAGTGACAGAGCCAAAAGAGGTGCCAGAACCTAATGAGGTGCCGGAGCCTAAAGAAGTGCCTGGGATTAGAGAAGTACCGACACTGAGTGTTGGATCCTCAAAAATGTAAGACATCCTATGTGCTGGATGCAGCACAGTATGTATTGAATTGGAAGTTTGGTCAAAAATCCAATGTCATAATTTAAGTATTATGAATCTCTTATATAGTATACTAGCCTTTGCTCGTGACTTCATTCGCGCGGAAGTAAAAAAAAAAAACTTTACAGTTAGCCTACATATTTTTCCAGGCTGTGTTTCTTCTCTATGCCAAATATCATAGAGATTCGTTAAGCCATTCTGAAAATAACTTGTAACATACAGTCATCCATCCATCCATCCATTGAACCATCTGTCTAAATATTTGCATGTATTTTTTATGTAATAAAGTAGCAAACGAGCATGCGGCTACTGAATTCGTTGAAATAGCTTGCCTTTAGACGTCCGCAATTGCAGATGCAGTGCATACCTTTAATTGACGGAGGAGGAGACACACAAAAAGAATATTTTCCCTTCCTATGCGTCCTATGACAAATCCACTTCCCCTTCTTATTTCCTTAGAAGAACTTCCACAGAACAAAAACATGACAAATCATGTACCAAGTTATGCCATAAATTCTGTCCCTGCCTAATGCATGACTATTTCAAAAACAAATTAACAAAAAGTAATGAAATACAACACAGTTATTTACTCAAAATGATCCCTTTTTGCCTTCACACACATCTTCAATCGATCCGGCCACTCGTCTTACGCCGCACACACTGTTTCCAGAGGTATCGAAGCCGCTGCTGCCACTATAGTATTTATTCATATTTTTTTTCAAATTTATGCCTTGAAGAGCTGCTTTTTATTTAACGTACTAATATTATAAATTCGTTTGTTTAGATTGATGTGATGTGGATGGATGTATGGGTGGGTGGTCTACATTAATTATTTTATATATCGGACGGAGTCGCGGGCGACAGCTAGTACTATATCTTATTATTAAAACAATATGATACATAATAAGTTAGTATACTATACTCTATAAACAATTTCTTAAATTTTGGATTCATGACCAACTTCACTATACAATGTAATATAATGTGTGTTGTGCAGCACCAATTATATCCTTTATAGGATAGGAAATAATGCTGTCTATTTTGTTTCAGTTCCAACAAAAATCAGGTCAAAACAATCACTGAAGCAACTAAAAATCCAACAGGATCACCCTCTAATGTGAAAGAGGTCCCAAAACAAAACAAACCAGATGATACATTTAACAAATTGATTTTAGCCAGCCGTGACAAGTGGGAATGCACAGTTTGTCTTGTGCGAAATGATCGAAATCTAACAAAATGTGGATGCTGCGGTGGACCGGGACCAGCCAAGGCCGGCTCCGGTCTGCTGTCTTCAAGTTCAACTCCAACCCCCAAATTCAATTTTGGTTTAAAAAATACTGCCCAGTTTCAAATGCAGACCACAAATAATTCTCCATTTATAATAACGAGCACACCGCAGCAGAAATCAAGTTCAGAAAAATTCTGTATCCCCCAGCAAACAACTAAGAACGACAGTTTCTTACCAATGTCCACGCCATCAATATTCGGGGTGTCGAATCTGAGTGCAGTTTACCAAACGTCGCCACCTAAGTTAAATTTTCTTACTCCCAGTTCTGCCAACCCTGCCCCAAATCCAGCCCCTACTGCTGCCCCCACCCCCGACCCAAATCCCACCCCTACTCCTGACTCTAATCTCGCCGCAACGTCTAACTCTAATCTCCCCGCAACTTCCAACTTTAATCTCGCCGCAACTTCTAACTCTAATCTCCCCGCAACTTCCAACTTTAATCTCGCCGCAACTTCTAACTCTAATCTCCCCGCAACTTCCAACTTTAATCTCGTCGCAACTACTAACTCTAATCTCGCTCCTACTCCGGTCTCTAATCTCGCCCCGATTCTCGCCCCCACTCATGTACCTAATTTCTCCTTTACTCCCGCCTCCACTCAGGTACCTAATCTCGGTTTCACTCCTGCCGCCACAGCCGCCCCCATCCCAGTGCCCTCATTAATAACAAGTCCTAGTCCTGCTAGCAATGCTATGTCTGGCATTACAGGAAATTCATTTCAAGAAAACTCTAAGTTCATTTTCGGCACTCCTAATGTAAATATTAATTCCGGGACTAATATAGGTTCAAGTAACAATCAAATGACGAACCCATTTGGAATGCAAATGGCGACAGAAAACCAATTGTCCGGGCGCGTTGGTGTATTCGGGATTGGGAACGCGCCAGCAAACAAAACTGACTCCGCTCCATTATTTTCATCGGTGGGATCGCATGTTAACGTTTTTGGTTCGAGCACCACTCAAGTTAACACCTTATCTGAGCATGTAGAACCGAGACAGCAAACGGGATTCGTGTTTGGTATGACGCCAAAAGCAACATCAACGTTTGAGCAGCCCGCTCAGAGACCACCTGCCACCGGACCCGTCTTCAGCTTCGGCCAGGTGAGAAATTTGACTTTAATAGTAATTTTTTTTTCTAATTAACCGAAAAATCGTATTAAAATTTCTGTACAAAGTATATTTTGTTTTTTTTCATGTTTTAGCTAATTATAATACACTTCTAAAATACAAAAATCTATCTCACCTATATTGCTTTGTATGCTCGTCCCCTTGCATTCCCAACATCATTTGACTGCTTTTGAAACTTTGGTAGGGTATTCTTTAACACTAGAATAGATTTGTACTTATATATAATACTGACATATTGTCATTGCAGCCTCAGCCAATGCAGACACAGCCGCAGCCTATGCGTGCAGAACCACTGGGTGTTCAACCAATGAGTGCACAGCCTATGGCTTCACAGCACACAGGGCTGCAGCCGATGCAGTCTGGAGTGTATAACTTTGCTGGCAACCAAACTATGCCAATGCCACAGTTTAATATGGGCGCATCCCCCGTAACTCAGACAACTACTAGAAAAGTTAGAAGAGCGGTACGCAGAACTAACATGCGTTAAGGTAAAAGTGTTATGTTAATGTTCATAAATGGCAGCATGTTTCTTGACTAAATTAACTGAAATGACAACAAAAATTGTAAATCACAAAATGATTGGTGCCATTTATAATGTTTTTGTAATATTTAATGATAATTACTTTAATCTTATATGAAAACGGCTAAAAACTCACATATATTCGTCCGATGATTATAATGTCAGACGAAACTTTGAATACTTTAATAATGACTTTAAAGTTAATTTTGTAATGGCAACAAATTCATTAAAAAAAAATGGTTGCCGCATTCATATCTCTGGCCGATAAGGGAAAGGCTGTTATCAGGGGTACTCTGTTCAGAAAAACGTATGCAGAACAAACCATTTATTTTTTTCCATCAAGGTATCTGGTACTGTGTTACACATCTTTCCTGGATAGCTCTATGTAAATTTCATAATTAAAATTAGACTTTTTTTCATATTTAAAAGTAATTAGGTAACTGACGTGTTTTGTTGTGTAGTGTAGATGAGTAATAAATAAATGTTTTTGTTACTTGGCCTGAGTCTTGTTATAAATAATAAGTGTAAACAACATATTTTATTAGATTTTAGTGCTTCAATACTTCCTTTGTATTCATTGTGTTTAAGTTAATAATCATTGAATCAGAATCATTGTAAAAGTAAAAATTTTCTAATAGTGTTAATTTGAGTATGAAATAAGTACAGTGATGATAAATACTTCATTATAATTTATATGGTAATTTCAGAGAGAAAAATGTAAATTTTTTTACTATACTTTAAAATTATTTTTGTTAAATTTCTTCCAATATCTAAACTGAAATAAAGAGAAGTAATAAAACTTATAAATTTTCATTCAAGGACCTTATTCATATATTTATAGAAACTTTTTGGTAAATAAAACAAACATAATATTAAACATATCCATATATTAAAAATGTTATTAATAATGTCAATTAAACACATACGTTAATATAAATAGAAAATACTCTTTATGTGATGAAGATTATTAGATGTGATGTATTAGAAATATTTAGCATGGATATCCATCATAAACATTTAAACATATTTTGTCATACTTTACATTTGCATTGAAAAAACTCAGATAATGTTAGTAATAATTAACATATACAAATTTAAAAAATATAAAAAAAAAATACAAGTCAAATATATATATAAAACTACAGTAAATTTTCCAGATTAATAAAAAATCTACGTCTAGCCGTGGGTTCATGACATAAAAACACTGTATAAAACATCGTCATCCCTGACATTATTTTTAACAACAAAGAGATAATCTGTTTTAAACGGAGATTTTGGACTTTGAAACTCATGGTAATCAAATATTTCACAATATTGTGCTCTATTATTAACTTAAGCTTATAGTAAAATTAGTACTTGTAAAAATAGTTTTATTAATGATAAAATTAAATTAATTGTTTAATAAAATTACGACATTGTTAGTTACATAATGTGATCATAAAATATCTGGCGATTGTTAAGCCATGTTTTTGTATTTAGTGAATAGGTTGTAAAGAACTCGCAGAGTTGATTTGAGGTCGAGATTCACGATATCTGAAATGATAGTTATAATTTATATTAGGAATAGACAAGTATGATGTACGAGCCTTCAAAATTAGACCACATTATCACTTAACATCATGTAAGATTGTAGTCAAGCACTAGCTTATTTAATGTAAAAGAAAAAAAAATTATAGCAGCAAGTATTGTAGTGAGATTGACCAATCTTCATTAAGATATGACAACAAAAAAATTATTAGCAAATATCATAATTAAATCATGATGAAGATATTGTATAATCACCTTCAGGTCGGGCTTTCGGCTTTGCCAAACCCACATCCTGCATCAGCTCAAAAGCAAATGAAACATTATGTACTTTCTGATCAAAGTCCTGAGGGGTCAAGTGGAAGTCGTACAATGGCACAAAGAAACCTTCAAGTAAGCCCATCAGCAGGCACAGGAATACTCCATCATGGAATTGTGTGTCCAAGTCAACCACTTCCAGGTTCACTTTGCTCAGATGTTTGTTTACAAATGTTATCAAAGACTGAAAACAGGCAATTTAAAATGGAAGATTAAAATAACAATAGTAGTAACCACAGAAAGAACAAGCACAGAGTATATATCACTATAATAATTTCTTTACACTTTATTATTGTAGAAATGTCTGATTTGTGTTATTAGGTGTAACCATGACGGAGTGACACTTGTATAGAAACATTATTGCCATCAAACACAAAAATGTAGATTACCTTCTTAACAACTTGCAGTTTATCTGGTGCATGATCAAACAGGGCATCAAAAGCATCTCTCTCACACTTCATGCCCAAATCATCGTAAGTTGTCGTTATGTCTTCTATGTATGTCCTGCAAAACAAATACAATCACATTTATAATGTTAGTACAATAAAATTAAAGTAAACCTTATATATAGGAAATGGAAAATGTATTAAGGTGACAATATTGAACTGAGCATGAAATTTTAAGATGTTATACCTGTGTGATAGTTGATTAGGTGCATCTTTCTTCACGACCACCACATTGACGCTGACATTTTCTGGAAGACGCACCGGCGCACGGAAATGACGTGCCAAAGCGACTAACAGATGTAAAATTGACACCACATTCTTTGAGTGAACAGAGTCAACACTCCATTTTTGTGCTGGTTTTGATGTTCCAAAAAGCACCTAAATATAAAAATATATATAGTTGTTTTATTAAAAAACTATCAGTGACTTATTACATCAATCACATCCAATAAGGTAGAGCTATGATTCATATCTAATATGGCTTTGTAAAAATAATGCAATCGCAAATTAATATGAAAATATATTTACCCTGTTCACAGCTCTCAAGACGATAGCCAATTTCTGACGTTGACCTTCTTCTGATTGTGTCACCTCGGGCACATCCAATTTTGTTTCCGTCAACTTTTCTAATAGCTTTTGTAAAACTTGTCCATCATAAAGATCCTCACTTATATCCTTGACAATTATTCTTTGCATAGCAAGCTCATCATTGATCCAATCTATTAATACTTGTATCAACTCTTTCACCCTAGGATCTTCTAAAGATCTAGGTTCGATAATAGCTCTCTCTTCATTATCAACTGAAATATAATTTATATCACTCACTGCACTTGTAGCCATTTTAAATTAAATACAAGTATATTCAATGTTAATTGTATTAAAATATTTGTTAACTACTTCGCTATACAAAATGAACTTCTTATCTCACTTTGACATAAGGATAAAATAAACAGCATGTTTAAAAATAGATTACCAATCATGTATCCTGTTTCATTGTCCACTTCGGTCTTTGTTTTAAATGAACAGTTAGTAATTTTAGTCTTTAATTGGTTGTTAAAAATGTGCAAAAAAGTTATTTTGTTTATTTTATAATAAATTGAAAAGATTTCCAGTGATATAGAGTGTGCTCAGGAATAATGGAATATAATAACCAACTAACTTTTATCATGGAAGTGAGTGATTTTTTTTATACTTTTTGTATTCGGTTGTAACAAAGAAATATATAAATATATCATATTGCACCTAATGAGCTTGTGTTAATTTTTCATTATGTTTTACATAAGTTATATATATACATTCATAAGTATAGTCTACTTTCTTTAGTTGACGCAACTGATTATGAAATTCCTATAGAAGATAATGCTTTCTGAAAAAAATTCTTTTTCCTAATGTTTCTACACAACTACAAACTGTACTTTTAAGGTGACAATTTGACCTTGAAGTATTAACATAATAAGTTTTCTGTTTAGTTTAACAGATCAACTGAGTTTCAAGGATTTAATTTTTATACATTATAGCAAGGTTAACTGTAGGTGTAGAAAGGAAATGCATATTTGTAGTTAGTACACAAACTTACGAAGGCTGTATTCTTCGGGAGGAATTTCTGGTGCAGTCGGGCTTCCTGGTGAATCAATTGCATACTTTCCTTCAGCTTGAACATCTTGCACTGTATACAAAAAGTAATAAATCAACATCATTCATATAACTAGATTTTTGTTTATCTTACTTTATTTTTCTATTCAAAATAACATACATCATGATTCACAATCAAATGTAATATAAAGATACTGATTTCGTATAAAAGATAAATTAGTACAGTGTAGAATGAGGTAATCTATAATTACACACCACACACATGTTTTGTAAACTGTAAAATTAGAACAACTCACCTTCCTTTATGCGCTTCTTTCGGCCAATAGTACCGATTTTATCCCAAAAAGATTCCTCCTTGTCTTCCTTTTTTGGCAAAACGGGAGTACGAGGAGATTTTGGGCGTGGTGAAGACATTCTCGATGAGGAAACTTTAATAAGAAAAATGAGTCACCATTAAATGTTATTTACGAAATTATTCAAATTAGCAGACGACTGCACTTTTATAACTATTTAGGAACGATGGTTTTCTCATTATTTACCTTGAAAATAGGGTAAGTCTTACTTATTTTTATGTCAAATGGTCAAATCAAAGATTAAAGATACTGAACGTAAAGCTGAAGGAAAAACAATGCCAAACCTGTCAAAACATAACGTCAAGTTGTCAAGTAAAAAACAACATTGTGTTACCAGGTGGTAGACCACAGCTTTGTCTGTATCGCATTTACTTATTCAAAAAAGTGTTCTCAGATACATTATTCAACATTTAACTTTAGACTTTAATTTACAAAAATGCATTCATTAATTTAAATACCAAACGCTTCGGATCTACGCCACTAAAGTCTTTGGTGAGATGAATGAAACTGTCTTGGAAGGAACGAAGGAACTGTCAAACAGTAGCATTTTACGAATAGATCTCGTGTGTATTGAGTAGTGATAAATATTAAATTAAGGGCATTTTAAACAAAACATTGCAAAGGCGTGAATTTAAATAGCAGTAGTAAGCTATTGATTTTCGAGCAAATAGCGAAGGTATGTTTTAATAAATTTCATTGATCTGTATTGTGTAAGAATTTTGAGAAATTATAGTAGAGCATAATAATGGAATCATACCTAAAAATAGCTTGAAGATTTTATTGCATCATATGTTAGGTTCGCCTCAGTGTTATAGTGATTGTGGTTGGTTTGTTTTTGTACATGGGCACTCGTATTACAGGGCTCAAAATGGAGAAGATGGGTAATCCGCCGCCATATGGATGGGGAAATGGTCCGAGGATGCAGCCTCCGCCAGCCGCGCCGCCGAGTTACTCACAAGCTGTGGGTGGTGTGGGACCTTCAAGTCCCTATACACCGCAATATCCTCCAAGTAATTACCTCATTTATAAAAAAAAATCATAAGATGCCCTTCAAAATTTGTTAACATATTTATGGATTATTACATAGGTTTGACCTTGTAACAGTTTTGATTTTTACGGCCGCCGCATTGTAGTTTGTATATTAGTCTCAAAATTGTCTCCATATGGTAGCCAAAATAAGCATCCACCCATAATAAATGTTTTCATATGTTATAATTATAATAGAATTTATTTATTTATCACCATGAAATTTTAAAACAAAATTTTACAGCTAGATTTTATAGTGTGTGGTATGGATACATAGTAAATAAATAGTTGAGAAACATCTTTTAAGAGATGGACAAGAAGAGAGGTCATGTCCCTCAGGAATGAGGGAAAATGCATAAATAAAGGGAGGGTTGGATAGATAGACAGCTACAGAAGTGATAAATGTTTTACAATGGAAGTAAACATTTACTTCTTTATTTTTAAGTATAATTTTGACTTAAAAATGTAAAATATTTGTTTAGCGGCTGGTCCACAAATTGTGACAACAGTGGTGCCGGTGGGATCGCATCCAACCCACATGATCTGCCCCAGTTGCCAGGCCGAGATTGACTCGGAGACTCAGACGAAGCCCGGCATTATTGCGTACATCTCTGGGGCCATCATTGCACTTGGCGGGTAAGTCTATACATATGTAAAGTTACAGTAAACTCTCTAAATTAATTGGTATTATGTTTTTTAATTAAGCCAATTTCTATGAAACTATGCGGGTTATATTCCAAGATTTCAAAAGACTTAAGATAATATAAATGTAGTCACAATATGGAAACATTGAAAAATGCATTTGTTCTAATCATTGGTAGGCTTTGTTGAGCTTGATAAACAGAAACTTGAAAGATGTACTTTGTCAAAGAATACAAATAAGCAATTTTGTATGAAAGAATGCTGAAGAGATTGTCAGTACAATAAAAACTTCTATAGATTTTTTAATACGCCAAAATAGTAAAGTGACTACACTTTACCACTTGAAATATTTTTGGAATATATAGGTTAAAGGAATAAATAAAATTTGTATGAATATACAGTTTGTTTTAGGTTATTATTACAGGTGATAGAGAGTTTTTATCATATACTGTCTGTTACCCGCGACTCCGTCCCCGTGTAATTAAAAAAATAGTAGTCAATGTGTTCTGTGTCTTCCAAACTAAGTTCTGTAACCACGCCTAATTTTGCAGAACTTAGGCCTAATTTTACCTTCTAACAAACATCAAATCATCCATCATACATCATTCATAAAAACATTCGTAATATTACTAAGATTTTTTAAAGTTTACTTTTAACATAAATGTGACTTTATTTATCTCCCCATCATTCGCCAAGACCTCTACTTTGTGAATGATGAATTCAATGGAGGCGTATGTTATACAATGTTAAAGTTTGTGATTTTTATCAACTTCGTCAAAATTAAAAATTTATCAAAATTTTCCCGTAACCAATTTAAAGTTATTAAACAGAATAACACTGTCATGTTTTAATTTAGGCTAATAACAACCCTCCCCCCCCTTAGTAATATCATACCGGCATATGTCCTAGGTATACATATATAGTTAGTGGACCGCTGGCCAGTGCATCGCCGCGCGCATCTCAAGCCCGGACAATCAGGAATTGATTGGATGCTAGTATTGATTTTATGCGTAGCTGCGCAATGAAATTAATTTCGCTCCACCGCACTTTAAAATCTAGAAAGTTCTAAAGTTATATACGAGAATATTATTGCATATGTATGAACTAGATTAATTATAATTATGATTATTATTATAATTACGTTCTATTCTGACATGTGGCTTATATTTACAGTATTTCAAAAGATATTTTTTTACTAGCGATCGCACGCGACTACTTCCGTGCGGTATTTAAAAAAAATCATAATTAGTAGCCTATGTGCTCTTCCAGATTATGTTCTATGTCTATTCCAAATTTCATCAAGATCCTTTCAGCCGTTCTGGAGATACTTTCAAATAAACATCCATTTAGCTAAACATTCGCTTTTGTAATATTAGTAAGAAGTAAGATAGAAATAAACTTCAGATTTCAACGATGTCCTTTATTCATATTATTATTAGAAAGGATTCACACAGTAACAGCAACTACATAGATTCGTGAACTTAAATACTTAATCGCGCCATAGCTACGAAATAAACATATCGTTGTCGCTACTATTTATAAATAGTAGAAAATGTGCTAACACTACTGTTTGTCTAAGAGAAAGTTTGCATAATTGTTGAATTTGGAAAGTCTTGAATTGCGACATGCATGCACATTGTTACCGTGTATTTGATATGTCGTGACATTTGTATTGAATACTATAGCATCTCTGTTTCTTGTAACTAGCTGTCGCCCGCGACTCCGTCCGCGTACATATATAAAAAAAAACTTAATTAGTGTGATATTTGTGTTCTTTCAGACTATGTTACATACTTATTCCAAATTTAATCGAGATCCGTTCAGCCGTTCTAGAGATATCTTCAAACACCCATCCATACATCCATCCACATCACATCTATCTAAACACTCGCATTTATAACATTAGTAAGTTAAATGAAAAGCAGCTCTTCAAGGCATAAATTCGAAAAAAAAGAATAAATAGTATCCTATATCCGTCTCCTGGCTCTAAGCTACCTCCTCACCAATTTTCAACCATATCGGTAAAGCCGTTCTTGAGTTATAAATAGTGTAACTAACACGACTTTCTTTTATATATATAGATGATAAAGATGGCTATATTGTTCTTAACACCTGTAGTGTTACGTGAAAATTCACTTTGTTGTCGTCATCGTTGCAATTCTTAACTTTACTAATATTATAAATGCTAATGAATGGATGGATGGATAGATGTTTGTTAGAAGGTATCTCCAGAACGACTGCATGGATTTCGATAAAATTTGGCATACATTTAGAACATAGTCCTAGTAAGAATACATAGGATACTAAGTTTTTTTTAATGTCGCGGCAACAGCTAGATGCATATACAGTTTAAATATTGAATTATAGCGATTTCGGAAAGTTACATTAATTATATAACCATATATGTAAAAAAATCTATAATTGATAGATGAAATATTATAAAATTAGTACAACAGTAAATAATACGAATGTTATTCTCTCACTCTCCTCTCTTATATCGTAAGGTAATACGTTCCATGATATTTTGTAAATAAGTAGCCCGCGTTGACGAACATTGGAACAAATAGCTCATGACCAGACATTTGATCTGACCACAAATACAATGTAAATTACGCGGAATTCTATATACAACTTCGAAATACGCGGACTGTTTCAACTCCAAGTAATCCGCGTACGGGTGCTTGGATGTATTATTATAAACGACTGCAAACTGCGGTGCAACTTTACCCAACGTCGACGGCCAGAAACTTTTAGTTCCATATTGTTGTAGTACGTGTATTGCGAGCCTTAGTTTTGCTCTAATTAGACTTTTAGTTAATCCTCAGAGCTTCGTTAGTTGTTCGCCGACGTAGTTTTGCATCGACCTCTGAAATTTTCGACCGCTTTCAACAATTTTCGCTAGTAGCTTGTTAGCGTTTGAATTCTGATTTCGGTAGCTCGCTTCACTTACATCTTGTAATTAGCGAAGTCTAAATTGAATAACAGCTTATTAGTATGGTATTGCCTCATAGGCCATTTCAAAAATTTAAAGAAAATATTTACGGCTTTGTTTTATAAAAAGTTTGAAATATAGAACCGATTTCGTTGGCACTGTCTGATGTTCAGAAATCTATTTTGACTTGTTCCAGATGTTTCTGCGGCTGCTGCTTGATTCCGTGCTGCATCGACAGCTGCATGGACGTGCATCATCGATGCCCCAACTGCAGCGCATATCTCGGCCGCTATCGTCGATAAACGAACCCCTCATAATAAGCCCCCCAACTCCCGTCAAATATCGGACTTAATCCGAGTGATCGGGAGAGCATTTAACTCTCAATGTTGTCCCTCTAACCGTAGAAATTGAAATCTACGGTTAACTTATCCCAGCGTAAGCTATTCACAATTTATCCAAGTCGCTGTTAGTATGTCCTAAGTCAAAACCTAGATCTAGTCTAGAATCCGCATCACACTAGTGGGTAGTTCCCCCGAATCTCATATACCATTTAGATTTTTTGAAACATATTGATGTCTTCTATACGATATACAATTTTTATTAATTTTAGATGCAAATTAATGTTTACATGCGAATAATATTTTACTTTAGTATTAATTTCTCGCTTTTTATAACTTTTTAAAACTTTTTAATTTTATTGTAAGTAATTTAAGAGTGAAATAACGATGGGAGCAAATGTTTATATGGCAACATCGGGGTAATGTAGACGTGAATATTTTGTATATCCAACGTATTTGAAGGAGGAACAATTTTTTTTTTTATTTTACACATTTTCTTAGTCGTAAGACTTAGTAATTTTATGACGTAATACGTAAGTACATTTTAATTTTTAATGTAGATTATTTTTTTAAGTAATAATTTTTACCTTTTTATTGTAAGCCACAACTTTTTTATTATACATTTTTTGCGAATAATATTTATAATTCCGTAACAATTATATTTTATACTTAAAAATCTATCCGTCGAACTATTATTAATTTTCCCTCGATTTATTATGATGTTATACAGGATGTTATAATTTAACAATAATTACTCTCATGGTATATGTGAAATAAATGTTTTGTCTTTAAACTAAACAACTTTCATTTCACAAGTCACTAAATAGTACAGAACAATGCTTAGTTTATCCAAAAAAAAAAAAATTCCATAAAAGTAGCTTTAAAATAAATGAATTTGGTCGATAAAAATGCCCTTCGTTATTAAAGAGCACCCTAATGAAAGAAATTCACTCAATTGTTTTGATAAATATTTCATCTCTTTCTTTGTTTTTGACAAAAAAGAGACAACAGTATTTTTAAAAAGTGAAATTCGATTTTTAAACATATTTCGAATAAATTACAAATCTGTTAATTTCCTTCAGTTTTATATTGATTTATTTACTTTCTATTTTATAAGTATTTTTATACTCTACAATAATATACATATAATTTCGAATACTGCTCAGACCACTTCCTAATGTGTTCATTTTTTGAAATAAATATAAAATATAAAAAAAAATTGTTACAAAATTTACAATAAACAAGTAATATTATTATAGAATTTTTTTTTGTAAATTTTAGTATTTTAAAATAAAATAATATTCACAGTAATAATTTTTGTATTTATTTTTAAACGCTAACATTATGCTTAAAAAAATTGTTTCATTTATTTAATTTAGTGCAATTAAAAATAACTAATAAAAATATATTAAAACCTAAGAATTTGTTTTATTTTTAAATCCTAATTGGAAAAAATCCTCTCGCCCTTTTCTCCCACAGATCTAACATATAAAAGAAGGTTTTCTAAAAGATAAGGAAACTTGTTTTATTTTCAAATGGGCAAAACCCTGCAATACATTCATCCTTATAAGTAACCTATGTGGTCTTCCGGACTAAGTTCTACATGTATCCGTTCATGCAGTGATTCCGGAGATACCTTCTAACAAACATCCATCCATCTAAACTTTCGCATTTATATCATTAGCTTTACTGTTTTGTATCTATTTATACTAAGAAGATACAAGAGACGACAATATAAGTGTCATAACACTAGAAAAAAACATAGAAATAGGTTTTTTTTGCAGCTAAGGGAAATAAAAACAAAAGTTTTTACTACGAGACATTTTTTTTATTCTACTACAATAACACAATTGCAATATTCACTAAATTGTAACAACTTTTATCCCGAATAATAAACAATTAAACTAAAATAAACAATTCACCAAACACAACTTATATTTTTTTGGAATACAATATAAAAATTACTTTGTCTTCGTTATAATAAATCTGTCTTTATTACGATAAACAAACAATTTAGTAGATTGTTATATAAAAAAACTTGAAAGAAAAGTAATTTATACAAATCATTTTGATATAAGAAAAAAAACTGAATGTTGGTATGAAATACATAACAAGCACATTAGAAATTGAATAATTTCTTTTTTAACAATAAGCACACCAAAATCATTGGAACTATAATAAAGTTCCACAAATGCAATAATTAGAAAATTCTTAAATCTTACAAATATTAGGAATATTTTCGATAATTACCGTTACATTAAATATGACAGGAAAAATTAACAAATCTAGTTTTTCCCGCTTAAATGCTTGAATTTGAGTGAAATTTTCTTAATAGCTTCCATATGTTGATCGCTTAAATATATGTATTTGATTTTCTTGTATGTATTTGTGGCATTTAGTTTTGTATCACAGGTAATGTTTGTTGCGTTGGTATTTGATGTAATACTTACATTTACCCCGTGTCACTTTTCCATATCTGTACTTTTGTTTGACGTCTTCTTGGAGACGGTTTTGACTTTTGTAGTGGCGGATTCCTTCTTATCGTTATCATCTTCAATTTCCACGATAGTGGCTTTAGTATGACCAGTAGTTTTGTCTAGAGGGGGCAGATCAAGCAGGTAGGGCATCATTGTTCGTGACTTCTCTTCTTCCGACAGCCATTCCATCTGAAAAGAAGTTAAAAAATTTAACTACAACATATATATTTTCAAAGTGTTGTGGTTTTGCTATAGTGCAGTGACCGCTGCCCATAGACATATACAAAATGTAGATCGTTGCACAGAAAATGGAAAGCTAGAGGTTATTTCTCTTTCCCGGGCATTTTTTTAAAAGGAGAAGGGGGCAAATTAACAGCGGATAACCTATAATAATTTGATCTGACGCCAATAGACACCTGCAACATTAGAAGGAACCTTTGCATGCTGGTCTTTAAGGGAGGTGTATGTAAACTATATATTACCTTCTGCCGATGATCAGCCACTGCATCATCACATATTTCGATGCACATGCGCTCAGTGAGACGGCCATCGTCGGATGCATATGCGGCGGCTTGCCATGCCACACCCAGTTTTGATAGCGCACGGCCCGACATGCCCGCAGTGCGCTCCGCCAGCTTACTACACAGCGCGCCGTAATCGAACTGCTCCACGCTCAAACGCCTACAAACAAACATTAAGTTTGTACTAAATTGTACTCAATATTGTCAATTTCACATGTACTTGGTCAACGCACGATGAAAAAAAAGTTGAGTAGTCAAAATCGGTCCACCCATTCCTGAGATTACCAGGAAAAACGCGGCCTTGCGTTCAGACACACAGACAGCTAGACATTATTATTGTATTAAAATAATAATAACAAACCTCTTCCCTTCCGAAGCTGGTTGCAGCACAAACTTGTCAAAGTAGAGACGGATCAATCTCTCCCTTTCTTCATATCCCGGCAGACCAAATTCAATCATCTTGTCGAGTCGATCGTTGATAGCTGAATCAAACTGCTGGGGAGTATTGGAAGCCAGTACGAGCATGATCCTACTGCTCTGGTCTGAGGTGCGGTAGAGGAAGGCGTTTAAAGCGGCCCTTAGATCCTCACTGATACGTTCTGAAGAACGCTTACGAAGGAAAGCGTCTGCCTCATCAATAAAGAGTAGCACACCTAAAATATTGTTAATTATTAGTGTCTAATTGTACAATTTGACTGATGTGACACTTTTATTAAATAATAGCTGTCGCCCGCAGCTCCGACTGCGCGGAATTTTAATAAAAAATGCTTAGTAAGTAGCATATGTGTTCTACATCTATACGAAATTTCAGTGAGATCCATGCAGCCATTCCAGAGATATAGTCACAATCATCCATCCATACATCCAAACATTAGCATTTATAATATTAAGTTAGATCCTTTTCTTTCTGTTTGATTAAATGGAAATCCCAATATATATGCAAGTTGTGGCATTCGAATTCTATATGTATATGAAAATTACCTAAAAAAAAAATTCGAGTCTCTAAAAAATCTTACCTTTCCTGCTAGTATTGGCCCAGTCGAATACTTTATGTATAGCGGCAACTGCGCCCTTGCCCATAGGAGCCACGTCACCGCCAGTCAGTATCGCATAGTCCATTTCTGAATGTTTCGCTAATTTCTGACAACAAACAAACAATAACATTAATTTTTACATTAATAAAACACTCATATATTACATGTGTCAAAGAATTATACAGTTAACACCTCATCTTTGTCTTAAATAAAAAAATTGTGTTGATGTTTTAAATTTTGTCAAGTTTACCTTTGAGAATAATGTTTTTCCAGTTCCTGGTGGTCCATACATGAGTAGATTTCTATAGTATCCTTTATTTAGTCTTGTATTTTTGGTGGCAATCGCAATATCTCTCAGTCTACGTTCCAAGCTTGGTTCCAGTACAACACCGGCTAAGGCATCTGTGGGTTTTCTGAATCGGTTCACCGCCTTCGACATTGTTAGGATGGGATGTTTTATAGCTTCTAGTAATGAAAATCTGGATGTCTCGTTAATGAGTGACGGTTTGCCTGAAAAAGAAATATGTTTATAACTAAGAGATACATTGATATAGTAAAGGATCAATTGTTCAATCAATAAAACATTTTTTTTATGGTAACTTTCTATGTCAAAGAAAAAAAAAGGCTGTTTGTGTTATACATTTTCAATGAGTTGTAATATCTCACCTATCCTGGCCTCAATGAATCTAGCAGTGACAGATGTTGCGCCTTTGGCAGTGTAAACTCCAAGAGCAAGCAATGACAATCCTCCTGCTGCCGCTAATGTCTTGTCCCAATCCGTTACTAGGGCGTTCAGACCTGTACCAATCACAGACCCCGCAGTCCTGTATACAAACAAATTTAATTATATCACCATAACAAAAAACATTACTTTTAACATTAAACATCGCCGCAGCAATTGTTTTAGAAATAGTATGTAACAGTGACAGTATGTATTTCTAAAATTGATTTGCGAGCTTCAGTAGTAGTTTTAAAGTGCCTTTTTTTTAATTAAAAAAAGAACCACAATAAAGGGATACCTAAGTAAAAACAACACATATAATGGAAGATAATAACATGGAGAGATATAAAAATAGTAAATATGTGGTGAAAACTTTACATACTTAATACCCTCCAAAATTGTTGTTCTATTCTCAGCTGCCTTGAGCCTTATTTGTTCGAGAGTGATGTCTCTATTCTCGCGGTCGGCCTTTGCCCTCGCGCGAGCTTCCGCCTCGATCGCCTTCAACTTGTTTTTCTCCCGAAGCTCCATTTCATGCTCGATGGTGGCACGACGCAATGCTTCTTGCTTTGCCACACTCTCTTCTTGTCTAAAAACATGTTACATCTTTTATATAATTTTGTATGTTTTTTTATGCACATACACTGTGAACATAATTCCTATTCCTTTGCCTAATTATTTTATGTTTGTTATTACTTCTTGTTATAATTTATAATAAGTTGTTAATTAAGAACACATTATGGAGTTATTATAAAAGTTTTACCCACTTTTTCAATATCTCCTCCTGTGATTTCTGTTGCTGCACCAATTGCTCTTCATATCTCTTCTTAGCCAACTGATCTTGGTATTGGGCCCTCATCTGATGCTGCTTTGTCTCTTCCTGAATAATTAACAAAAAGTGACGAGAGTTTTACATCAGCCTTCCATAACATATTAACCAAACATTGTGCATTATAACAGGCTGTCTTCATGACACCAGGGAAGGATACAATTTTAACAACTCCTCGCTTTCAATTCAGGTCAAGCAATTTAGCATAGTCATAAAGGCATACACATGCCAGAGAAAGATTACCCTTCCGTTACCAAGATAAAAAATGTCTAATTTTTAAACTATAAATTTCAGTGTTAACATTAATAGTTAAGGGTATCCTTAAAAAAATCAAAGATATTGATAATCATTATCTTTCGCAATTTGTGTTATTGATTATAAATTATAATAAAATAGATGTCAAGGTGAGAAACTTGCATTTCAAATAGTCAAA